ATTGACGCTAGCGAAAAACTTTTATACAGGAATTGTAGATCTCGTTATCCTCTACAAGAAAGGTCTCATGCAATTTTTCCGTATGTTCAACGGTTTGGGAGTTATTGGCCAAAAATGAAAATTTGGAAGAAATTGAAGGGGTACCCCTTGGAAAAATCTCGGAAAAATCGAAAATTTTTTTTTGTTGTTTATTATTACCAATGTTCTTCCGACGTCTGATTTCTTTTTAAAAAATGCGTTTCTAAAGTGCATAAACCGATTACAGTATCAGACTCTATCATGAAATACGTCATTGATGGAGCCTAATTCATTGACTGTCCTGAAGGATTTAGTGATCGGGTCAAGCTTCCATATTTCTTTTCTGTTCTTCTGTATATTCCGAAGAGCTCGTGCTCGTTGATAAAGTAACATAATAAATTAAACACGTACGATGTGTCATCGGTGACAAATATAAACCGATATTGAGCAGGGAACAGTGCTCGAGACGTTGGAAGGCGCAGCGCGATTCTACATGCAGAAGAGTAACGATTACTATTAGGGTACTCCTCGTGGTCCTTGCTGGTCGAGTAGAAGGGTCGAAGTGGGTGACTCGATTTACGTAACGCTCTTACCCCGAGCGTTGCATTTTGCTTTCGACGAGCGTATATTAATCCGAGCGAAGAAAACGCGAACGCGTGTCCGATTGGCGAAGCCCTCGCGCCGCTGAACCCACTCGTGAACCAGATCGAAAGTGGGTTAACTCGCGTCGTACAGGTAGCCACGTAGCCAGCTAGTATGCACGTACTTAGGATGTACACGAAGGGGTGGTTGGCGTGCCGTTTGCCGTTTTCGTTTCCCCTGGCTCACGTTCTCACCGAGCCACGCGATTCTCCCCTGCCGTTTGATCTCGTTCGACGACGATCACCGCGCGATTTCACTTCGTCGGAACCATTCGGATTTCCTACTGTTACGTACGCGCGTTAATTCGCCCGCGTCGATCGATGTACGTATATTAATTACCAATTACAGTCCGTCGTCGGCCTCGATCCGGGGAGAGAATATAATAGGATATTAACGTTGGATTCGATAATGGAATGATTGTCCCGCGGTACGCGTTCTTCTCAATTTTTCACGCAAAGCGATTTGAAACGAGCTTTTCACGAGAAGACAACATCGGTGTCCCTTCGGTTTCGGTGATCCGTTTGCCTCGATTCGCTTCCTCGGTTATCGAGGATGCGAACGAAGGTGGAAACGTTCGAAGGGAAACGAAAAATCGTTTTTCCCGGATTTTCTCCGAAGCCCGTTGTTTGCTCGATCGAAAAGGATTTCGTTCCGTAAATCGCGCTCGATATTTAACGAGGTCCTCGTAAAAAAGTTACGGTCTGGAATTTTTCAAGCGGAGACGAAAAAAAGAAAGAGGCGAGAGGATGATGATGAACGGTCGGAGAGTGAAATAATTATTAAGCGGTTTCGAGGCGACGTGGTACGCGTAACGTTCTCCACCGAATTATTTATCGGTCTCTCGATAGCTCTTGACGCGTCATCGCCGCGTCACCGTGTAAAATCGAAAGCTTTTACGGGATCGTATTCGCGTGTAACCAAATAAGAGCGAACGGAGGAAGAGCACATACGCTTGTGTTCAGTAGAACGGAAAAACGGATCCTAACGAATTTCCCCTATTTTTATCTTTGTTCCAGCCGACGCAACCAGATTGAGGCATTCGAGACACTTGGACGCGAGAACACAGTTCTTGAGCGAAGAAGAATTGTTACCGGTGAGTGCTTTCCGATCACACCTCCGTGCTAGAATCGAATCCGATCGTCGGATTAAATGTTTCCGCGTTGCTCCCTACCTTCGAAATCCACTTGCTTGCCGATAAATGGAAAACAAAACGTTTCGTTCTCAGATGCAGCTGGACGAGAACCACAATCACAAGCCGGTCTTTTCGAATTGCTCGAATTACGCGCCGGTGGTGAAGGAAGAGGAACCAGTGGGCATCGAGGTGATTCAAGTACGCGCCGAGGACAGGGACCGTCCGGAAGACGGAGGTGAGCGAAATCAAGTAGAACCCGGCGAAACAAGGGAGTCGAAATTAGACTCGCGATTCGGCGATTCGAACTAGCCCCGTCCGAATCTAATGGTTCTTCGTTGGACGTCTCTGTTCGACGAAACCTACTCGAATTACTACGACCGTAGAATCGACGTTCCCGGCTAAAGAGCGGATCGAACCTATTACGATTTTCTCAGGTACGATCACGTACAGCTTCGTAACTGCCCCGGGCGAGAAGCTTAAGTTCGAGATCAACAACAAGACTGGATTGATCAGGACTACTCAGATTTTGGACAGGGACGAGCCTGCCAGGGAAAAGGAGGCTTACCTGACTGTGCTCGCGACCGATAACGGTAGGCCGCAGCTCGACGACGTCTGCACGTTCAAAGTTACCATCGAGGACGTGAACGATAACAGCCCCGTGTTCGACAAAGTGGTAAGCTCGCACTATTGCTCGTCTATCGTTTCTCATACTCGAACACGGCGATTCTTTACCCTTTTTCTTTCACCGGTGATCGACGACTCGATTATTCGTCACACTTATTCCCAAAATATGTTTCCTCTGAGCTCGTAAAAGGGAAGTTAAAGAATTCATGCGAGGAGTTGAGAAACTTTGCCGCCCGAGTCACACGATTCGTCTAGGAGAGAAAAAAATCAGCGCGATTCAAAAATTGATCGATCGAACGTTTTTTTTTTGTTTCGTCGAGCGTAGAACGAAATAGATACGTCTGTCGCGTTACTGCGATACGATTTTGTATTGCCAAACATGATCAACTACATCTCTCTGCTTCGATCTCTTTCTTTTTTCTTTTTTTTTTCTCAAACCCAGGTCTTTCGTGGACACGTGTGGAAGGTTGGTTTTGAATTTCCCGGTACATGTCTATTATGTATTTCGATGTTTTTTTCGTTTCGATACATCTATACCTATTATACCTTTTATAGTCGATAGATACGTATTTATTTTGGGAATGCGAATGCCGCGTATGTGTTGTGCATTTTGATTTTCGCTTTTTACGAGAAAACGCTTGCGTGATCGAACGGCAGGATCGATACGAATGGGAACGATGCCGATCTTGCCCTCCTCTCGCCTCGCGTTTTATCTTTGAACGCATGCATGCCAAATTGTGTAGACGTTGTTCCGACGAAACAACAGGGAAAAAGGGAAGAGAACGGAGGAAGCGGGATCCGCGGCGGGACATTAGTGTAAAAATGAGTTTCATTTGATTCAGGCGTACACCGAGTCGGTGCCGCAAGATTTACCTTTAGGACGCGAAGTGATGAGAGTCTCGGCCACGGACATTGACGACGGTAACAATTCGGTCGTTTACTACAGCCTATCGCCGAAGAAACCCGAGGACGAAGTATACTTCCGAATAGATCACAACACCGGAGTGATATTTCTTAACAAGACCATCGACGTGAGTATATACGTCGGATACGAAACATTAGATGCAAGACGGAAGTGACGAAAGCTTTGGTCTCGTTTGCAGAGAAATCCCGAGTACAAGTTCAGCATGATAGCCACGGTGCAAGATCAGGGAGAGAGTCCAAAATCGAGTATCATTGATCTGAACATCCGGGTGGTCGAATCGCACAAGAAGGCTCCGACGTTTGAACCACGTTCATCCGAGCCGATCCGCCTTGACGAGAACTACAGAAACTTCAGCACGAGCATCGCGCATCTGAAAGCGAACTCGAATAGTGGCGATAACACCGGTCTCCTGTTCGAGCTGCTGTCTGGTAGGACCGAGCAAACCAATAAGGGCAACACGTTCAGGTAAATACATACCCATAGATGTTTCGTTCCGGAAGATGAAAGAATTGAGGACAAGCATCGTTCTGTTCTCGCGAACAGATTGGAATCGAACGGAGACGTGGCCGACATCAAACTCTCGCAGGACCTTGACTACGAGAGCAACACGGCGTACACGCTGATCGTACGAGTGCAGAACAAGTACCAGTTAGCCGCCGAGACCGTGATCGAAGTCGAAGTGCTGGATGTGAACGATAACATTCCAGTGTTCCGTGAGATGAAGAAAGGAAGCGTGCTGGAGAACGAGCCGCCGGGTGTACCTGTGATGCAAGTGAAAGCGATCGACAAGGACGGAACCTCCGCTAATAATCAGGTAAATCATTTTCTTCATTCGTCTCATTTTTCGTCTCGTCACGTTGCTTTCATCTCGTTTCTCAGGTCACGTACGAGCTGGACAACTTTCGGGATCAATTCGCGATCGACAAGTACACCGGGAACATCACCACTCTGACGACGTTCGACAGGGAAGTTCAGGACACGTATAATGTGAAGGTAATCGCCGTGGACAACTCTCCGAGCGCTTTGCCCGGATTCAACAACGAGCACAACAAGGGTCAGCAGGTGTTCCGGATTGAGATCGCCGACAAGAACGATAACGCCCCTCACTTCACGCAGCCGGTGTACATCGCGAAGTCGATCCCCGAGAACGCGAACATAAACGCGCTGGTGACCGAAGTGAAGGCGCTCGATTCGGACACCGCGAGTCCGGTCACGTACAGTATCATATCCGGGAACACGGACGATAGCTTTTACATCGAGGGCACCACCGGCAAGATTCGCGTGAAAAAGCCTCTGGATTACGAGAAGAATACAGAGTACAACTTGACCGTGAGGGCGTTCGACGGCGTGTTCAACGACACGGCCCAGGTCAAGATCTTCATCGAGAACATCAACGACAATCCGCCGGTGTTCGAAGACTTCGAGAAGAACCCGACCATCAAAGAGGAGGAGTTGGTTGAAGGTTGCATCACGACCGTGGTCGCATACGATCCCGACATAAAGAACAGAAGCGCCGATCAGCACATCGCGTACTTCATCGTGAAGGAGGATCAGCAACCTTTGATCGGTATCAATAAGACCGGGTGCATGACGTTGAAGAAACCTCTCGATCGCGATCCGCCTTTGGGATATTCCATGTGGACCGTGATCGTGATGGCGCGCGACGAAGACGGATCGCCGACCGCGTTGAGGGAACTGGTCATGGTGAACATCACGCTGATCGACATAAATGACAACGCGCCGTTCCTGGACATGTCTTATCCGGTGGTGTGGCAAGAGAACAAACCGCCTGGGAAAATCACTGAGTTGAAGGCCCGCGATTATGACTCGGACGAGAACGGGCCACCGTTCGTGTTCCGGATCGACGAGAAGGCGGACGAGATCCGAGACAAATTCGCGATACAGGGTGCCGACCTGTTCGCGCGAGTCAAATTCGATCGGGAAGTCCAGAAGAGTTACGAGATTCCGATCGTGATAACGGACAGCGGTAGCCCTCCGCAGACGGGAACCTCCACGTTAACGGTGATCATCGGGGACGAGAACGACAATCAGATGACCGAAGGTTCCAGTTCGATATTCGTCTATAATTACAAGGGCGAGGTACCGAGAACGGAGATCGGCCGTGTGTACGTGAACGACTCGGACGATTGGGATCTGCCGGACAAACATTTCGCATGGGCATCGTTACACGATGGATTCGATTTGGATCGGGACACCGGCATGATCACGATGCTCCCGGGTATCTCGAATGGCACGTTTATTCTTAAGTTCACGGTTACCGAGCATAGCGCGCTCATCGATCGGCACGAGGTGAACGCGTACGTGAACGTTACCGTGAGGGAGCTTCCGGAGGAGGCGGTGACCAGATCTGGGTCGATACGTTTCTTTGGGATGACCGCCGAGGAATTCGTCGCGCCTGACGACTCGGGCATCAGCAAGAAGGAAATATTCCAGGAGAGAGTCGCAAATATGCTGAACGTCTCTGTGGAGAACGTGGACGTGTTCACGGTTCTCCACTCGCCTCATTACAACAACAAAAGCTTGCTGGACGTACGTTTCTCCGCGCACGGTAGTCCCTATTATGCACCCGAGAGGTTGAACACTATCCTCGCGCAGCACTCGAAAGATGTCGAGCGAGAAATGAAAGCCAAGATTTTCCTGGTGAATATCGATGAGTGTCTAATCGAGAAACTACACTGTAATAATACATGTCGCAGTTTCTTGAACGTGAGCACAATTCCGTATTCAGTTTACACGAACACCAGCTCGTTTGTCGGCGTGAGAGCGGTCGTCGATCCACAGTGCACGTGCCACGTGGCCGAACCGATCGTCTGTTTGAACGGAGGCACGGCATTGCCCGATCGGTGCGAATGTCCTCCTGGTCTCGAAGGCCCGAGGTGCGAGCTTCTCGGTATCGGATTCCACGGCGACGGCTGGGCCATAATGCCACCACCCGGCCAAGCCTGCGCCGATTCTCACGTCGGTCTTGAAATAACGGCTCACACGGAAAACGGTTTGGTGTTCTATTTCGGACCGATGATCTACAGCCCACACATCGGAATCCAGGACTTCATGGCTCTCGAACTCCAGCAGGGATATGCGGTCCTTTATATGGATTACGGAACCGGCACCGTGAGACTCGACCAGCGGCGGATCAAACTCACCGATGGCAAGAGCCATAGAATAGACGTTGAATTCAGAAAGAACACGATCGAGTTGAAGGTGGACAACTGCGGCATGTCGGCTTGCATGAGTCTAACCGCGCCCGAAGGAACGAACGAATTTCTGAATGTGAACAGTCCGATGCAAGTCGGAGGATCATTGACCAATCTTGCGCAGCTAGCCTCGCAACTTGGTTGGAACTACAAGCCGACGAACAGAGGATTCGTCGGGTGTATACGCAACATGACTTTCAATGGAAATACGTATAATTTGGGAATGCCGTCGTTGTCCAGAAACGCGGACCCTGGGTGCGATCACGGTATGGCAAAGGCTGTGTCGTTTGGGATCAATACGAACTTTCTCGTCGCGATACTAGTTTGTATCGCGATCTTGTTGATACTGTTGCTGGCAGTGGTCGTGCACAGGCGGAAGACCGACGATCTTTATAAAGATATGGACGACATCAGGGAGAACATTATCAACTACGAGGACGAAGGAGGCGGCGAAGTCGACACCGGTTACGACCTGAACGTGCTCCGCACTATACCCTGTATTTACGACGCTCCGCCCATCGATTCGAAAATGGCGCCGGTCGGCTTGCAATCCAGAGGTAAAATTGGCTACTGAAATCGCTATGGGTGAGACGAGTGAAAGGGGAATGTACGTTTCAATTTCGACCTGTTTCAGCTACGGACGAAGTACCAGACATCTGCGGGTTCCTCGACGGCAAGAAGGAGAGCTGTGACAAAGATCCTGACACGAATCCGTTCGACGATGTCAGGCATTACGCGTACGAGGGTGAAGGCAATTCCGAGGGTTCCTTATCGTCTCTTGCTTCATGTACGCTCGCATCATCTTTGCCAAATACCTCGGTATCGCGTAATGTTTCTACGTGTTTTCTTTTTGTCTACAGGTACCGACGACGGTGATCTGAAGTTCAATTATTTGTCGAACTTTGGACCGAGGTTCCGAAAATTAGCCGATATGTACGGAGAGGAACCGAGCGACGAGGAAAGCGATGGTGTCGGCGAACGAGAGAGCGAAAGTTGGTGTTGAACTTAGCTCGCGTACTCCATCGAATCGTTCGCTGTAAATCAGCAATCTACGAAGAAGCGACGAACCCCCGCGACGCTTCCTCGCCTCTGTGTACTTAATTCGAAACCGAGGATATACCCCGCGTTCTCTCTTCCCTCCTCCCCGATACAGTGGTATCGAAGCGCGCCGTGACTTGCTTCTTCTCATTTCCTTGTTCGTTCATCGAATTTTCTCCTTTCCTTTCTCTTTCTCCCCTTTTTTTGACGCATTTTTAATTTGAGAAGACTGCTCGCGGTTCGAACAACCAGCCAGACGATCAACGGCAAGAATCCAGGACGATGAGAAAGACAAAAGTGTACGTGCGAAAGGAGGACGCATCGGCCGAGATCTAAATAGAACCGGCTGTACAGTAGTAATAAATGACGACGGACACCGACTACGCGAATATTCCGTGCGGGCACGCATTCCATTACTAACGAACGAAACGATGTCTCCCGCGTTTCACGCGTGTTTCCTTCGGGTAACGAAGGAACAAGACCGGTTTTACGTTTTGGTAATCATACGAGTCACACGGTCTGGACATATTTTTTTTATACACGTATATTAAACGTACGGGACGCGAGTACTGATATAAAGGGAAGGATAAGCGAGAAGACGATTCCAAACCGAAAGGAAAGACGAAACAAAGGCAGCGACGGAGCGGTGTACAACTGCTCCTTCTATTATAATTTAATTTAGGATATAGTATTTTATCAAAAGTATACGCGTGCGAGCGAGTGACTAAAACACGCATTGAATCATGCTTAGAAAAAAGGAAAAAAAATGATGCGTGACGTCTCGCCGCGTGTACGACGTGTGAATGTGGCGCATGACCGAGCGTGTGAATCTGTTTCCTTAGGAGATATCAACGTTAACGTAGCATGAGGGGCGCGTACGATGCACGTTTTGGAACGGGTCCGCGCGAGACAACGAACGGCATCGGCGAAAAACAGATTCGAGTGCCATATCTTGGTATCCAAGATCCGATCGAGGAATGAGATAGCGAAGAAGAACGGACGGTCTCCGCGTCGGTGAGCGATTCAGAGGTGACGCGAGCCTCGTTACCCTCACGAACCTCTTGCACTACGCGTGTTCTCGAGAAGCACAGCTCGTTCCGCATCGTGTCTTCCGGCATCAGCTTCGATGCCGTTTCTTTTTCATGCGCGAACCAGCGCGTGCGCGTGCCGAATTTATCTTTGTGTATATATAGATGTATATGTGTATGTATATTCGTGTACTGATGTAGGCACCCGCCGCACGTACGTACACGCATATATGTGATAATAATTTGTAAGCTTTTTGTACGATAAATCAACGGCTATATGCGTATGTATGATAACGATACCAGAACAGGATCAAATAATAAGAACAGAGATAAGAAAATACGGGAGGGCCTATTATACAAATACGGTCGAGAGTACCTCTCGAGACGGTAATTTGTCGGAATAAAACCGCGTCTAAGGTGAGAGCGTGTGATCTCAGAGTATATGCGTAAGAATGAATGAATAGTGTTCGTCGATATTCGGAAATGTTGCCATCGGACGATGACAGAACAAGTGCGATTTCAAGTATTTAAACGGAGTCGGGTTTTATTCCTTACGAGATGTAGACCTGCCCGATTCCGTACGTATCAGCGGACGCGAAGCAACGCGTAGGACGTTTTCAACGGAACACAGCCGTGGGTGCGAGGAATACGTATCCGCCGGTGGGTGCGACGCGATCGAACGGAGAGCCGTTGGTTCGATTTCGTCGCAGGAACATTGTCCGTTGCGTACCAGCAAATACACTGCGAATCAACTACTTACTCGAACACTGCCCTTATACACTAGTAAAGAAGCGAAGAGAAAAATGAAAAAGACGGTTCCGTCCCGCGGCAAGAGGTCGCGGATAATACTTAAAACGTGCGTCTACGTATGTACGCGAGCTTCTTACAGTTCCGAGGAAACCGGAACCGAAACGGTTCGCAGACCTATTCAACAATGTGATAGTCGACCGCAAAGCATTACGCGCAGCACACCTTTGTTCTTCACCCGCGATCCATCTATTATCGTTGAGAATGATGATACGTGTAATTTTATGTCCTTTTTTTGTAGCAATAATAAAAGATGATGACGCATCGAGAGAGAAACCTAGCTTGCGTAAAATGGAAACTCCCCGAATCGTTCGCGAACGTATGTCTTAAGAAACGCGGCGCCTAATTAATCGAATCCTCGACAGAGGCTTCTCGGCGACAGGGAAACCCTGCGACCGTCCGATTGCGATACTTCCTGCGTTTCCTGTTGGCGAACGGTCCGAATCCTGAGGCTGACGTCAGTCCCGCGCAACCCCGAAGAGACTCGGGACGATAGAAGGGGATGTGGCGGCTATAAAAAAGTGCGGCACGCGGCTACCCTCTCACAATCGCGCGCGGCTCACGCTACGGATCGCATAGGTTCGCCGAAGAAATCCAAGTTTTTCCAACTTCCACGCTCGATTCGATTGGCATCATGTAAGTGGTTCGATAACGCGCGCGATACTAATATCGAGTCACGTTTTTTACGCTGATTATTCGAACAGCCGTGCACGGTTTTATAGTTCCCCTAATTTTATCTCGATTTCCTGTTCGCCCACGCTACAACATTTTGTTCCGCAGGTATCATAAAATTCGACTCGGCTTCCTCGCAATAATATTGCTGTTATGCTTGACCTTGGACCACGAAGCTGAAGCTCAGCTGAACTTCTCGACCGGTTGGGGAAAGAGGAGTCGAAGGGTGGGCGTCCTCGAATGGGGTGCCGGTAGAAACGATTGCGCGTCGCAGGCCAGACCCTCTTTCGAACAGCTGCTGACCGTCTATAACGTGATACAGGTACCTCTAATACGCGGATCGGTCGAAATTGGGTTCGTTACGATTACACGTCTCGTTTACAGGCGGAGGCGCAAAGGTTGATCGATTGTCGAAAGTTGAGCGAATGAATCGAGTCCAACGGTGATCGGCGTTAGTATCGGCGAATATATAGACATTAGAGCGTTCGTATGTGTGGGTGTGTGCATGGGTGTACGTCTGGTAACGAGCGTGTGCACGTGCGTGCATCGATTGCCCGTTTAAAGATCGGCGAGTCGTCGAGCGACCTGTTCGCGTTTTCCCGGTCCGCATGACGTTTCGTCGTCCGATTCGAATCGTAAGCGGGAGCGTGCAAAGGTTGGCTCGAAATGTTCTCGGCCGATCGAAACGTGGCTTGTAAAATTAACGATACGAAAACGATAATACAAACAATGAGCAGTAAAAGTCCGAACGTAATGATTTTCCTCCACGTCTTTCACGTTGTCCTTCCTTTGTTCATACTTTCATTCTTCCGCGCGTAAATTTAAGCGGCGGGACACGAGCAACGTCAGTCTACGACGCGTTTACCAATCTGCTCGATCTCCGATAATTAATTGACCATCGATCGCATCCGTTAACGATCGCCGACGGGCCTACAAATATCGCGCGCGCATCGCGCAACCGACGGTCGTTCGGTGCCGGGTTCCGGGCTCTATTTTTCAGAACGCGCTTGCAAGAGTCTGTCTCTCTCCGAGGTTCGAGCACCGATCATGAGGACGATCCTCTGTGCCGTCGGCTTCGTTCTGATTCTGCTTGGAACCGGCGTTCGTTCGCAAAACAGTTCCAGTTTCTGGGAAAGGGGTAAGAGAGCTGCGTAGAAGATAAAACGGGACGGGAACGGTAACCGGTGTCTGTGTTTCAACCGCGGCAACAGTCATCTATTTTATTTTCTAGTCGTCAACTGGCTCCCGAAGCTGCGAAATGATGCTACGAAATTTCCGCTATGGCCCACGCACAATACGAGTTTCGTCTGCGAACGCGATGGATTTTTTCCGGACAAAACCGACTGCAGGATGTTCTATCACTGCGTTCAGATCGTGACTAGCAATTTTATGCGGCACGTTTTCAAATGCAATGATAATCTCATTTACTCGGTTAAAAACGAAAGTTGCGTGAAGCCTGAGTACAATGACCGGTCGGAGTGCGTCGAATACATTAAGGGCAAGAGTATAGATATAGGCAAGACTCAAGATAAAGATGAGACGAAGGAGGACGACGAAGACGCAGAGAAGAAAGCGGATGAGTTCACGGACAGCGAAAAAAATAAAAACAAAGAACAGAAGAATAGAACAAATGAAAGCTGGAAAGATAGTGCCAAGTATAAGGATAATGGCATCGGCAAGGATAAAGCAAACATAAATCCTTTCGGTGCAAGTGAGGAAAAAGACGGTGTCAATGGGGGAACTGATTTCGTACTGACAGAATGGCCGAGGACTAAACGATTTCTCAATTTGCCCAACATCATAGAAAATTTAATGCGAGACAGCAGCAGCGAAGGATGCGATTCGGAAGATTCAGATGATTATGGCGAGTGTGACTCTGATAGTGCCTCTCGTACTTCACCTCATACCCGTGCTACCCCTCGTCCTACCCCTCGTACTCAACCTCCTACCCGTGCTACCCCTCGTCCAACCCCTCGTACTCAACCTCCTACTCGTCCTACTCCTCGTCCTGCCCCTCGTACTCAACCTCCTACCCGTGCTACTCCTCGTCCTACCCCTCGTACTCAACCCCCTACCACGCGTACTCAGCCTCCTACCTATACTACCCCACCTCCTACCTATACTACCCCACCTCCTACCTATACTACCCCACCTCCTACTACGCGTACTCAACCTCCTACCCATACTACTCCACCTCCTACTACGCATACTCAACCTCCTACTCGTATTACCCCTCGTCCTACCACGCGTACTCCACCTCCTGCCAGCACTACTCATCCTCCTACACCTCGTACTCAACCTCCTACACGCGCTACTCACCCCCCTGTCACGCATACTCCTACCCGTGCTACCCCTCGTCCTACCCCTCGTACTCAACCCCCTACCACGCGTACTCAACTTCCTACCCATACTACCCCACCTCCTACTACGCGTACTCAACCTCCTACTCGTACTACCCCTCGTCCTACCACGCGTACTCATCCTCCTGCCAGGACTACTCATTCCCCTGTCACGCGTGCTCCACCTCCTGCTAGCACTACTCATCCTCCTACACCTCGTACTCAACCTCCAGCCAGGACTACTCATTCTCCTACATCTCGTACTCAACCTCCTACCCGCGCTACTCATCCCCCTGTCACGCGTACTCCACATCCTGCCACCACTACTCGTCCTCCTACACCTCGTACTCAACCTCCTGCCAGGACTACTCATCCTCCTCTACCTCGTACTCATCCTCCTACCCGCGCTACTCATCCCCCTGTCACGCGTACTCCACCTCCTACCCGTACTACCCCTCGTCCTACCACGCGTACTCCACCTCCTGCCAGCACTACTCATCCCCCTACACCTCGTACTCAACCTCCTGCCAGCTTTACTCATCCTCCTACGCCAAAACCAACGGTGCCTACCCATCTACTTTACACAAGCGACGGCACAGCTTCATCGCCCACATTAGACGGTTTAGGGACATCGCATTCTACTGACACCGACTGCAAACATCTACTGGAACTTGTTACTGGCGCTCTCTTTCCAAAAATAAAGTTTGATAAATTGAGTCCTTCTCTCAGCCATGATGGGAGATGGACCCCGAAAGATACCAAGCCTGATAGAATCGAGCACACAAGTGATGTAACAACTGTCGCCTCTATAACACAGGTTAAAGACGGACTGACTACCCCTCCGCGATTGCCTCCAATACAACCTGCTTCCACTGCGAAACCAGTGATAAGAATACCCGTTACCACCGCGCAACCGCTTGTGCATGCAGATCCACCCGAAATACTCGGTAGCACCAAGAAGCCAGATGTAGTTGACGATTCTAGTGACTCGGAACATAGTCCAGTACAAGATTCTACCGAAGAATCGTATATCAAGCCACCCGGTATTGGGCATCCGAAATTACCTGCAACCCTCCAAACACACTCACCCAAAACATCCGACGGCACCAAGGAGTTGGATGGTGACGAGTATCCCGATAGCTCGATATTGATTCCAAAAAAAGATCGGGGGCAGAAATTGAAACCTGTACCCTCCAGTAGTGAGGAAATACCTACAATTGGACAGACCGATTCAGGTAAAATACTCGGTAGTACCAAGAAGCCAGATGTAGTTGACGATTCTAGTGACTCGGAACATAGTCCAGTACAAGATTCGACCGAAGAATCGTCAATCAAGCCACCCGGTATTGGGCATCCGAAATTACCTACAACTGTCCAAACAGACGCACCCGAAACATCCGAAGGCACCAAGGAATTGGATGAGGATGAGTATCCCGATAGCTCGATATTGATCCCAAAAAAAGATTGGGGACAGCAATTGAAACCTAAACCCTCCATTAGTGAGGAAATACCTACAATTGGACAGACCGATTCAGGTAAAATACTCGGTAGTACCAAGAAGCCAGATGTAGTTGACGATTCTAGTGACTCGGAACATAGTCCAGTACAAGATTCGACCGAAGAATCGTCAATCAAGCCACCCGGTATTGGGCATCCGAAATTACCTACAACTGTCCAAACAGACGCACCCGAAACATCCGAAGGCACCAAGGAATTGGATGAGGATGAGTATCCCGATAGCTCGATATTGATCCCAAAAAAAGATTGGGGACAGCAATTGAAACCTAAACCCTCCATTAGTGAGGAAATACCTACAATTGGACAGACCGATTCAGGTAAAATACTCGGTAGTACCAAGAAGCCAGATGTAGTTGACGATTCTAGTGACTCGGAACATAGTCCAGTACAAGATTCGACCGAAGAATCGTCTATCAAGCCACCCGGTATTGGGCATACGAAATTACCTGCAACCTTCCAAACAGACTCGCCCGAAACATCCGAAGGCATCAAGGAGTTGGATGGGGACGAGTATCCCGATAGCTCGATATTGATCCCAAAAAAAGATTGGGGACAGCAATTGAAACCTAAACCCTCCAGTAGTGAGGAAATACCTACAATTGGACAGACCGATTCAGGTAAAATACTCGGTAGTACCAAGAAGCCAGATGTAATTGACGATTCTAGTGACTCTGAACATAGTCCAGTACAAGATTCGACCGAAAAATCGTCTATCAAGCCACCCGGTACTGGGCATACGAAATTACCTGCAACCCTCCAAACAGACTCGCCCGAAACATCCGAAGGCATCAAGGAGTTGGATGGGGACGAGTATCCCGATAGCTCGATATTCATCCCAAAAAAAGATCGGTGGCAGCAATTGAAACCTGTACCCTCCATTAGTGAGAAAATACCTACAATTGGACAGACCGATTCACCCGAAATACTCGGTAGCACCAAGAAGCCAGATGTAGTTGACGATTCTAGTGACTCGGAACATAGTTCAGTACAAGATTCGACCGAAGAATCGTCTATCAAGCCACCCGGTATTGGGCATCCGAAATTACTTGCAACTGTCCAAACAGACGCACCCGAAACATCCGAAGTCACCAAGAAGTTAGATGAGGACGAGTATCTCGATAGCTCGATATTGATCCCAAAAAAAGATCGGGGGCAGCAATTGAAACCTGTACCCTCCAGTAGTGAAAAAATACCTACAATTGGACAGACCGATTCACCCGAAATACTCGGTAGCACCAAGAAGCCAGATGTAGTTGACGATTCTAGTGACTCGGAACATAGTCCAGTACAAGATTCGTCCGAAGAATCGTCTATTAAGCCTCCCGGTATTGGGCATACGAAATTACCTGCAACCCTCCAAACAGACTCACCCGAAACATCTGCAGGCATCAAGGAGTTGGATGGGGACGAGTATCCCGATAGCTCGATATTCAGTCCAACAAAAGATTGGGGCCAGCAATTGAAACCTGTACCCTTCAGTAGTGAGGAAATACCTACAATTGGACAGACCGATTCATCCGAAATATTCGACAGCACTAAGAAGCCGAGTGTAAGTGAAGAGCTCGGTAAGAAGACAACAGATACTTCAGTAGATTTTATTACTACCAAAAAAGACGGTATTGTGTATACGACCAAACCAGTTACTCACCGGCCGGAAATTAAGCCGGGTGAAGATGAAGATTCCAGTGAAGGGACAGCGAGTACAGCAGAATCGTGTTATACGGACTGTAAATCCGAATCCGAGAAACCGAGTGTAACACCAGTTTTGACCCAGGAATCGAGCATGGAAACGCCAGGTTTGAATGATACGGTACTACTGTTTAAGGACCCGACAGATTCATACAAAACTCTCAAGAGCACTCAGAAGCCTGGCGTAACTGACGACCTCCATAAGGTAACGGGTACAGTGGAAATAACTGATTCGGACCAGAAACCGAGTACGGACAGCATCGCGAAACCGAAAGGCCCTGGTACGGAGGTAATTCCCAGTAAATCACCCGGTCCGAAAGACGTGCAAATACTTTCTGGCAATCAAACAAAGTTACTCGAACTATCGCTTACGGACGTACGGAATCTGATCAACGTTTTACTACAATACAAAATCTTGATTCCGAATAGATATTACACTATGGACGAATTGACTATAAAGTTTGATGAATTCGCTATCGTGTTGTTTGAATTGATAAGGATCGTGGGATACGGTACGAGATACGATGGAGTTATTAAAATTCCTTCGGTAACTGGACCGAAATACCCGAAAAAAGCAGACCATGGGTCGTGTACCCAGTCGGGTTACTTCCCCAACACCATGGACTGCAGCAAGTTTTACAGATGCATCCCATTCGGGAGCAGGTATCTTCGATATGATTTTCAATGTAAAATCGGAACTGTTTGGGATGCGCGGATAAATACCTGCAATTTTCTGGCGAACGTTCCGAAAAATGGCAGCTGCACCCCACCGCTGTATAGCACTCTAGATCAAAGTAAGTATTCCGACGGCCATGTACTTAAACGCACGTGTTTCCATTGTCCGAGCGGCATTCAACGACATCCGGAGTATTGCAACATCTTCTATCAATGCGCGGTCGACGAACACATGCAAATAGGTTTGACGACATTTGCCTGTCCGCCGGGCACGATTTTTACCACAGACGATGAAGGCAGAGCCGGCTGCTTATCGAAATTGATTTTCGAGAAAATCGACGATTGCGTCGACTTGGATCTTCAGAGGAAATCCATTAAAATCGTTAGTAAAGCTACGCGTATTTTTCTCTCTCGTACAAAGTATGTGTATCTATAATCGTAACTCGTCTTTTTTGTATTGCAGATCGACTTGAAGCCCGAGAAATCCACGTGTTCGGAAATGGGACGGTTCCCCTTCAGCGACGACTGTTCGTCGACTTATTTAAAATGCGTGCAACTGAAGGACGGATATTTCGACGCTTACCTTCGCGACTGTCCACCCGGCAAAGTATTTTCGTCACGTGAAAAAAGATGCGTGGAAGCTCGTTCACTTGGTTGTTAACGAAGTCCGTCGACGTACCGATCATTCATTTTCCTACCGCTTCGCGCGTTCAACATCGTCAGTTCATCATTAATAATGATTAGATTTAATAAGATTCATACGTACATACCTCCTCCGTGTTCGTTAGAACTCATCGAATCTTAATTTCTTCACAACACTATTTCAAACTTATCGCTCGCGGCAACGATGCGCCTCGATTCACTGCACACGCGTCGCGCGTTTCTCGTTTAATGTAATATAAGAGAGAACATTTTCTCTCTAGTAATATTAACAAAATGTTATATATTACCTGAACTTTTAAACTACGAGAAACTATATTTAAGCTTTTTAAAAAAATAAAATTCGTCGAGAACATGTGTATTATATGTCTGTGACAAGAATTCAAAGGAACTTATTCCATGCGCGTAAACATCAAATATGTACCAATCCCAAAAACATTTATCGCAGTCGGCCTTTTAATTATATGTATAAACTAAACGCGTTTAAGCATCTTAATTAATCTGGGAGATACTTACATAGATTTTATCTGAATGTTCCTCTCGAGTTTCGATAAAATCCACTCGTCAAAAACCCGAGATATTCGCAATTTTTCCAGCTCTGTTCAATTTCGCGACTACCGGCATCCAATATGTACTGCCACCGTTGTTTGCGTGGCGAAACGCGGAACTAAAATTTCCGTATACCGTAAAATATAAAACATGATTCCTGAAAAATGCGAATGTCTCAAGTTTTACTTAACGGATGCTGATGAAATTTTACAGGTAAACTCAGGAAGGATCTATGTAAGTGAATCTCAAGTTTTGTTACGAAACCTGAACGGGAAACTGAACGGGAACGATACCTGAGAAATACGAGAGAAACGGTGAAATTTCGCTCGAGCCAACTATTTATAATAAATAAAATATGATTGGATTAGTGGACTCGTAGAGAGAGTCGAGGATTTATGTTTGTTTTTGAATAAGTATGCGAACGGCGAGCGGTGTTAACTTCACGCAGGCGTGTCACGCACCGTGTCGAGTCGAGCGCCCAAACTGCCGAAACTGTCCAGATCAAATCTACGCAACTGCATAGCAGCATAGCAGTTGAACACTCGACGTGACATCGTGATGTTTCGCACGTTTTACAAGTAACTCGTGGTACCTCGAATAAAACTGCGATGAATACTGTAGCGATTATCATCGACGTCAACGCGAATTCCCACGTTATATGAATAACTCATCGTGGATCATCATAGGATATAAACTATAACCTAGGGATTCGTTCTCCGGGAAGTTCGTGGAGAGAGTCACGACACTTAAAGGTCCGTTGTGCCGTATATTATTTCAAGTTCGTGGGAATTCGTCGAAAAGGCAACGAGCCAGGTCGACGATGTACGTGGCGCAATGTTCCGGTTTCCTATTAAAGCAGTTCGGCGCGAGTTACGTTCGAAACGGAACCAGGTTAGCCTCTTCTTTTGGACAGTACGAAAATTATGGGAGACTTCGCGAATATCGCAAAAAGGTAGCGCTTTGGTTGAAAGAGCAGAGCGGTCAGGTTGCCGAAGCCTGTGCCAGACAGTTTGAGTTTATCGCAGCGCAACGTATCAGACGGAGTTTGCAAATATTTCACTTGTACACGCGGATATGGGACGAGGTAGCGCTGAAGGAGTTCATAAAAACATGGAGGAACCGCACGTTAAGAAATACCAGACACTTCTTGATGAGTAGCATCGGCGTGACCGTGTACAATTGGGATCGCGAGAGAATAAGCGAGCAAGAGTTGAATAGGTAAACCGAGCGACCCATCGATCCCTCGACTGCGTTGTTCATTACGCGATCGACATTAGAGTTAATCAGCTTGCGTCTCTGTTAGTTGTAAACAGGATATCGAAGGAATTCACAGATTAAAAGAGTCGACGTTAATTTGTCCGAAATGCCATCAAAGAATTGTGATAGACACACGACAGCCTGGCGTAGACTATTGCAAGTGCTATGGCGATAAATTTAGCGCCACTGCCAATCAAGATCGTACGTAACACTCTCTCATTCTCGTCAAGGGTCAAGAACGCGTTTACGAATACACGTCTGTTGTTTTCAGCGGATGGATGGACGCCGTACATAGAACGGCAGGACATGATCATCTGGAGAAGGGAGGAACCAGAATCCGGAGGATTGTTCGCGTACAAAGTATATGGCACGTTCTCGGACGTTACCGCGGAGGACTTTTTGCAAACTCAAATAGACGTCGACTATAGGAAAAAATGGGATCACACCGCTCGGGAATTACAAATTATCGATACTGACCCAAAGGCAGAAAGATCCATCGACAGCAGTACCGATATTATATATTGGGAAACGATATGGCCGGTACGCGCTCGTAGTCATCGTCGTAATCGCCGTTTACGTAACACCGATCGCGTAACGCCGCGAGCACGTGCTAATAGTTCGCCTGTTGCGTTTTTAGAGATTGTTCGCGAATAGAGACTACGTTTATCAGAGGCGGTGGATGGTGGACAAAGAGAAGGGCGTAATTGTAATTATAAGTAGAGTAACGGAGCATCCCAATGCGCCCACTAAACCCGGAATATACAGGTATCGTAAATAAATTGAAACACTTGTTGCAATACCGAATAACGTATGAATCTCACCTACTTCGTTAAAAGTAAGTCAAAATTCGCTATTCGAAAGTAATCTCAAGCACCTGTGTATATGCGTGCATGTGTATACGTAACAGAGTCACGACGTACTGGTCGTACATGGTGATAAAGCCGTATACGGAGTTCCACCAGCCGGGCATAGAATTCGGATTAACGTACTTCGACGATCCCGGTGTTAATATCCCGTCCGGGATTACCGCGTGGGTTGCGATGTCAGGTACGCGATTTATTTTATTGTTCTAACAGCGTTCGTACTTAAACGACGTATCGATCGTAGGATTGCCGGATTTTCTGATTCGTATGAGGGAAGCTTCGAAGAATTATCAGAGTTACAGGCTCTTGAAAGAAGACGTGGACGCGTTGGACACTAGCTGTGTCACTTTGAACGAAGAGGATATCACAGAGCACAACGTTGAGGATAACAACGAAGAGCGGGAGGAGCAGAGTGAAACGGTAAAACGAAATGGTAAAACTGAGGTGGAGAAGGAGCGCGACGTCGATGAACAAATAGAAAGTCTAACGTTTGAAGAGACGGAAGAACTGCACGAGGAAAATGGCGATGATGATACAACAGATTCAACCGACGAAGGCAGGGGTTTATTACGTTATTTCTTTCTTACAAAATTATTTGTCTGACCGATAATTGCAATACGTTTGAAATAATGAAATTGGTTTTGACCAATAGAAAGAGTTTAACATGACGTTGTGCGAGCAGAATGGTAATGTAACAACCGCGATCGCGATACAAAGATACAGGTAATGAACGAATGGATATAATGGATCATCGTGTCACATCGTGGGTAAATCTCCTGCGCGCGGAACGCGCCCGGTATCGGTCCTAAGTCAGGGAGAAAGTTTCGAAGAATGCCAGAGATAGCATTTTCTTTTTATCGTGTTTTATGCCGTACGATGTAACGAGCACAAGACTGATCCGACGACACAATTCGTTTCACTTACGCATCGTTCATTCTTTAACTGAGAAAGTGGAAAGGAGCCAAACGCATAGTAGAGAGAGGTGTTCAAAGTCACGATGAACTCGTCAGGTAAATTTTCAATTTGTACAAAACCTTTCATTACAAGAATCAAAATGCTGCGTTACATATGTGTACGTTAGGCTAATCCAAATATAAACCATATGTGTAAATTATTATTATTATTATTATAAATACTTGTTACACGCACATACGAATGAATTTATTATATACATTAACATGCACGTGTGTCTGTCGTCACGTCTGTTTATATATACATATTGTACATAATTTGTGTCATAGTACAAGTTGTGATTCACGTATCAAACGTGTGTTTGTACTATCAATCGTAACTGTGGCATTGTTCAATTATTTTGTATTTATACAAACAAGTTCATGTATAAAGTGATCGGATATTTTAACATATGAAACATTATAGTCTGTACTCGTTCCAGAGAAAGAAGCCCCGGAGACAAATCTATGTACCCTGTAACTCGAAACTGCCTACCTTTTTTTAGAACTCTCTTCCCATCTGTCTGGTGTCCCTACTGACGAAATTGTTTAATCTACTTTAATAAAAACTTTTGATATAAAAGATGTCAGTCCTCTATGATAGATCCTGTGACAAACTAATAGAGTCCAAGAGCGAGTCGCCATCCTCATCAATTTCGAAGCAAACCTCTTCCGGTAATCGCTTGGGTTCGGATTTAAAACCAGCACAATCTTGGTCGTGACATTTCTGATATAATCTTTTGGCTTTCAAGTCTACCACCCAGTAAACGTTGTTACTTTGGTGACATCGGCCAACGTTTTCGCAGTATCTACGAAAGGAATTACTCTTTCGATCGTGTACGCGCCTCTTCCTCGATCATGTGTCGTCGTTTCAGAGTAATACATACCTATATCCTGAGGTTTCGTACACCAACAGTTTTCTAGACTCAAGGGTTTTACACGAACGCACTTTCCCCGGTTGGGTCAAGTCGCGAACGTGTTTATTCAACAGCGGATATTTCGAGCTCGAATGATCCTCCTCGCGGTCGACGGATCGTCGCGGTAGCGGTTTGAAACGTTTTACGTTCGGAGCACCGTCCTCACAATCGGAATATTCTAATATCACTAAATCCCTTCTGACAACAAAGTATGACACCAGCGAATCGAGAAATATTGCCAACTGTTCGTCTTTATACTCGACGGATGGAATGTACTTGCAATCTACCGATAACGTGAAATTCGATCGCTTGCCCCATTTAGTGGAATCGTACACTCTAAACTGTCTATTTTTCGTGTAAACCGAGGTATCGATAAACAATCTCTTGCCATTTTTCGTTTCAACGATTAATCGTTGCAATTCCGTTCTATCGAAACTGTTCAGAATGTCGAGCGACGTTTCCTCGAACGCGAGGTAATCTAAGATATCCTGACACACGCGTTTTACTAATCTACCGACGTGATAATTATCTTTGAAAGCTACGTGTTTCACGTTAAACACGAGATGTCTACTAAACTTTTCGCTCGTGCTCGAATCTAAATTGATCACGTTGTATTTATTGCACGGCACTGACCAACGGGCCAGCAAGTACGCGCAGAAAATCTCGATTACCATGTTCGTCATCGACGATCCGTCATGACTCGGGTTCATTTCTATCAGATATTCCAGGTCCAAATACAAGCGACAAGGACAATGCTCTGGAATTATCTGACACCAACCAAATTCGTTATTTCCCCTCGTTTAAATGCTTGTACTCGCTATATCAGACTTCTGTCGAAAATATGTGTAATGAAAGGTTACCTGTCGGACAACGTACCTCGTAAGAGCATCTTTTTTCCGGCGGGCGGTGCTTGTAATACCACCAATATCTCTCAGGATGAGCTACCACGAATTTACGATAGCCCTTGTCTCTCTGATAAGCGAAAGTGCAAAGCGCATCGAAATCGTTGCTCTCTTTCGCAGCGGTGTAAAGCGCATCGGCCTGCTTGTCGAACTCCTTCCAAAATTCGGTCGGGCCGAGAATATTCGCTGGCATTTTTCGAAATTCTTTTACCCATCCCGGTTTGCGCTTTATCCTATCCTCCATGGCCTCTCGTCTCGCTGTCACCTCGCGACTATAAAATCTTTTCGGCTCGACGGTGTTCATTGCGGATAAACGTGAACGCTACTTCTCACCATTACTGTGTGCTCGCGTGCGATCGCGCGTCGTTTCGTTTCGCGGCAAAACGAATGTGCACGGAGCATGCCCGGTTGTATGTAGTTAGGAAACTCGCGTTCACGCGCTTTCGTGTTCGTTACAGAAAGAGAATGAGAGTGTATGAAAAACCGAAAAACTATGAAAAAATTATGCAGTTCGATAAAATCAATTCTAAAGAATCGCAGACCCGAGCGCAGCATAATTTGAAATTTCTCCCGACGGCCATGTGGGCGGCCTCATTAAAATCGCTTTGCCGGGAACCGAGATTGATAATTTTATTTGAAGAGTATTATAATTCCATCTCGCTTCGAGCGATTTGAATTGGATAAATTATATCGCTCATGATGTTCCTTGTACATATCTTTAGCTTTAAGTTCAGTCGCGGTTCATTAAAATCGGTTCACTAGGAACAAGCTCCTCTACGGGCTTACCTTCTCTGATGAGTTCTGCATAGAAAGAAATTCGAGAAAAATTTGACAAGAATTTGGACTTCGTATCAGGAGAACATAAGGTACTAAGAGGTGACAGTAACTTCTGCTGTGACGTCATTACCAAGAATTTTCTAAATTTCTGTCTACTTTAGTTCTACTTATACTAAGTGAAGATAACATGAAGAAAAGGGATTGAACATGGGTGGAGTTAAAAGTAAGTAATGATTGAATTCCTTTTAAATTATTTCTATATTAATTAAACTCTAAAAGATGTGCAATAATTTACAAAGAGGATCGCTTAAGTACTAGAATAATTATTTATAGTTAATATTTTTACTGATACTGGTACGACAGGAATTGCAAAGGGTGTGTTCATTATTTCTAAAAATTGTCCTGACTGAGAGATGGAACAAACGGAAAAGAACGGTAAAATCGTATAAGACAATAATGTGGATGAAATTATTGCACCGTAGCGATTAGATTAAAATACGACGTTTCATCGTCAGAGTCTAATGTAAGTGCGGTAGTTCGTATCATTCTTTGCGAATGATCCGACGTGGGAGTAGTAGGCGAAAAGGCATCGCGAGGGGCACCCCGGGGCGAGGGACAGACAGCGTTAGATTCTATTAACCGATGCTGCGTCGGAGAAGCAGCAGGAAGAAACGAAGCTCTCGATAGCCATTATCAATCGACGCGATAGAAAATCAGCGATAACGCGACACGAGCGGACAAGAGGCGTAAGCACCTGAGCGTGTTTGCCACTGTTAATGCGGCTCAAGATCATCGAACCAGGTGTCAGTATCAAATATCCGTGTCGGTGTACGCGTCGCGACCGCGATTCTTCCGAGTTCGTCGAGACTCGGTATCCTGATCGATAGTTCGGAACCGACGAGAGATCGGCCGGAACGGGGTTGTTCCCGAGAACGTTCTGGTAGGTAGTCGCAGAGTTTACGGCGACGAACAGTCGGAAGGAAGATTCGGTAGGGTGTATGGCTTCGAAGAGCCGCGTATTCGATTTTCGTCGAGAGCACGCGACGGACGGAGAGGCAGAGAGGTGGAGGAAGAAGAGGCAAGAGGTTTGCTAGGAAAAAGGATGGACACGAGCAAGGGAGGAATCCAAGTTGGTCAAGAGATTCAGCCCGGTATCGAAGCAGTGGCGAACCAGGCGTCGTCGTCGTCGAAGCTTTCAAAGCGGTGCGCCGATCTCGACTGAACTCGAGAAAACAGTTTCACATAGATGGATACCAATTGGATCGTCGCGTTGACGATCGTATGGATAACGTGCTCGGTGAACGGAAAAATGACTTGCCGCGAGGTGCAACTGGCCAGGGACTGCGAGGCTCTTTGCAAGAGGAATCGAGCTGGCGTTTCCTGCGAGCTCAGAGTGGCCGTGCTTTTGCCGGCCGACTCGTCCTTCGACATCTCCTTGCTGAAGGTGCTTCCGGTTCTCGGTACGTTCCCACGGCTCCGTTTCAGATCGTTTTCGTAGCGCGCATTCCACTTCGTCCGTTTCCTTCGCAGACTTGGCCGTGTACGAAGCCAGATCGCGCGGTCTTCTGCCCTACTGGCTGAAACTGAACTTCCTCCCGCAGGACGATCACTGCGACGCGATGTACGCTCAGATCGGCGCGATCGACAGCTTCTCCCATTGCGTTCATTTGTTCCTCGGGCCTGCATGCGATTACTGCGTAGGTGAGTAGGCTGATACTCGTGCAAGCCCGGTTCCGGTTTGTTGTACGTCGTACCGATCGGTTCCAGCGGCTGTTGGAAGAGTCGTGAAATTCTTCGGTGCCCCGCTGATCACCACCGGAGGGTTCACCTTCGACTTTACCGGGAAGAAGACCGAGTGCAAGGACGAGTACTTCATGACGACTAGAATCGGGAACGTGGCGTTCAGAGACATCGCGAATTTCCTCATCACCCTGATGGATCGGTAAGGGGAACGTCGAAACCGTTTTTAAAGGTAGAAACGAGACGGTATCGTTGGCGCAGATACGAGTGGAACAAGGTGCATCTGGTGTACGCGACCAACGGGCAGAGCCAGGTCGCCGGAAGACACACCTGTCACCTGATGATGAAGACCGTGGTACAGTTCATCAAGGAGAAAAACGTGACGTTCGACAATTTCGACGTCGAGACGACCACCCCCAAAGATTACCCACAGGGGCTTCGAAATCACGTCGCCAACAAGTACGGGGGTGAGCCGGTCAAACATCATTACATTATGTGTTCGAATTACGATCGATTGCGCTACGGTCAACCGTTCGTCGACGCGACTCGCGAGCAACCTGGAAGAATACAGAATCGTACTGGATCGATCGAAGCTGTATAATCATACGTACGTATTTTCGTCAAGTTCGCGCGTAAACGACGCGTCGATTTTAGGGGATTTCGTACATGAACCAGACGCGATACGTTTCCGCGTATAAACCAAACGAAAAGGCAATTCGTCAGACTCGGAGTGCATTCGAATTGTTGACACGAAAATCGCTAGTTTAAGAGTGAACCTCGACCCGTTCCACGTTCCCGGACCTTCCGTCTCCACGGTTCACGATGTTTCCACGTTCGATCGAGGTGGAGTTATCGCTCGACCGACGATCTAATTGCCCGTATCAATTAGCCGAGTCAATCTTTATCGCATTGTTACCTGCACGTTATCACGGCGTGTTATCACCAAGCTAAAGCGTTTCTATTATTGCCCCGTAACGGCGCGGTACTCGGGCAACGCGTCATGATGTCTATATTTAAACGTTTTCTCGATAAATAACGTAAGGAACGCGCGGGCGATCAATGATTAATCGTAAGTCCATAGTCCACGGACCAGTCGAAGAGCCCCGAAAAGGGCTTCAACGATCGATCCTCTTCTCTCTTATCACTTCTCCCTTCGCTGCCATTTAAACGATATGCACGGCGGGTTCGTCCGAATCACGAAAGAAACGCGATGAGTAGATGGATGGATCATTAAGGTACGATTTCAGAATCGCCCTAAATTGCAATTCTTCGTTCCAAAGATCAGACTTCGTTCTCTGTTCGTCTACGAAGTGCGGCTTCGAAATGCTCCAAATGCTCGCTTCGTCCGTGAACTAAATCATTTCTATCGAGCTGGAAACCGAGTGTCCGCGATGCAGTTTGAAAAGGGAAGATCTCTCGGGGGATTAAAAATGTAGGAAATGGTTCCGAAATTCGAATGTATGTAGGGAGGACGTTATGAATCGGCTACCTGCTGGGATTGCGAACGTCGGATAACGCGGGAGAAAATACGACGCGACGAGTGACGGCGGTCACAGTACACGAGGGAAAACGCGAGTGAGCGAGCGAGCTAGCGTGGGCGTCGGGAGGGAAAATACGGACGCATGCGTCTCGGTCCTATCTTTGCGCAGTAACGCGCGCGATCCTAAACCGGGATCAGAGGGGCGAAGTGGTAAAGGAGAGAAGGAGCGATCGTCCGTCGTTCGGCGCGCATCGACGGGTGGTGATGCCGAGGACTCGGCTCAGTTTCGTTCGCGCGGCCTCAGCTCGCTCGCTTTGACCGGAAAGTCATCTTCTTCTTCGAAACGGACACGCCGACGTAAAAAATTAAAGCGCGCGATACATACTTCACAGAGAGGGGAAAGAAAAAGGTGTAACGTTTCTAAAAAATGACGCGATCGCGCTAGATCGTTTCCCTCGTGTATTACGAACAAGAATGTATTGTACGAAACGTTTAAAAGATCAGCAGGAGAAAATGATTATCACGAATCGAATTTTATAGACCGTGTAAATTCTATTTACTCGTATCGCGTAGCTGACGATTGTTAATATTTTAGTTTCGCGAACCGCGCGATCGCCGATCCGTCCGACCATCGAGGTCTTCGGTCACTGGTACACGATGCACGGGGTAAATCGCGCGTTGCGAGGCGACGGGTCGTGAAATCGGAAACGGACAAATTGAACTGAGATTTGGTGGAATCCCGTGGTCGGGATGGCGGAGAGCGAGAAGTAGACAGGGAATAGGGACGAACGTGATAAACGCGAGATGCGAAGAACACGGCGATCGTCGGCGAGGCTGACGTTGCTCCTGATGTGTGCGACCGTGCAGATCGCGGTCGCGGAGCAATGCTTCGAGCCGCGAATACCGCTCGAGAGGGAGGTGAAGCTGGCTGTAATAGCACCGGCCGATTCCCGTCACGAGCAGAGTCTGCCGAGGGTGTTGCCGGCCGTTCTCCTCGCGGTCAGGTCTGTCAGCTCGGCGACGGGACTCTTACCAGGGTGGAACATCACGGTCGACCATCGGGACTCGCAATGTTCCAGCACCTACGGCCCGTTGGCCGCTTTCGAATTTTACATCAACCGGACCGCAGGTTATCCGTCGTACAACGTATTCTTCTCATTCCCGCGTTTTCCCTCCTCTTTCTCGTGTGTCCTTCGACGGGACGGCTTCGTACGTACAATGGAAAATCGATTCGTCATCGGCCGAATAGACGGACCGACAGATAACTAGACAATAATTACCTCGAACTGACGATTAACCGAGGCAAAACAGAGAACCGAGGGATCAAGCGGCACGCGCACAATACTAACTCGTTACGTTTCGGTAATAATTATTCTTTCGGATAACCGGAGGGATCATGTTTGCATTAATCGACGTCCGAATAATCGATGTTCTATCAATCAGAATGACTCGTAATTAGATTTTCATGCGATGCCGTCGTCGCGTCACGCGACGCATCGGGTAATGTCTAAACTTTCGAAACGAGACAGTTGTGACGGAGTTTAATCGTCGGTATCTAAATAAGGTCCGAGACCGATGTCAAACGCGTGCGACGCATAGTAGCAGAGGACAGCTGCGAGATGCCGACCACGACGTCGCGGTTCGGGTCAGTCAACCAGAATCCCGCTGTTCTCTTCGCCCTTCTCGTTTATCAGCCGCAACGCTATTAAGCGTCTCCTCAATTCCGTCTAATTACTTCCACACTGCCGTCCCCCGATCCCCTTTTCTTTTTCTGTCCGCGCGAATTAACCGAATCGTGGCCTGTCTCCTTGGAAGCTCGTTTCTCTCGAATAAACCCTAGCTCGGGGAACGTCCGACCGCCCAGCTACTCGAATCAACGTCGAACGACGGACGTCGTCTCTCTTTGAAGGACCGATCGAAAGATAAAAACTTCAGGGTTTACTGGTTCGATCCAGTCAAAGATTCTCTCATGCTATCGGGTCTGGCAGACTGTTTACGCGACGGACAGTAGTAAAGAGATCTCGTTCGAACACGCGGGAATCATCAACGCCGGCCGACGACGTTCTTTCGACCGCGAACGCGCGTTCCGACCTCCTTGAGCCCGGGTTAAAATTTCTATACCTGGGATGACCCGTTGCGTCGCGCGAACAAGAACTTTCATCCCTCGCAGTCTTACCCGTTCCTGTGTTCCTTTGTTTAACATATTTTCATTGTTCAATATTGTCCAACCGCTGCGGAAACGTTCTCGGTAAATTGTAAACATTATCGTCTACCTACGATTTTAAGGATGTATTGGCTATACAGTCAATCCCAAAAGTTTATGCCCTTTAGAAACGCATTTTTTAAAAAGAAATCAGACGTCGGAAGAACATTGCTAATAATAAACAACAAAAAAAAAATTTTCGATTTTTCTGAGATTTTTCCAAGGGGTACCCCTTCAATTTCTTCCAAATTTTCGTTTTTGGCCAATAACTCTCAAACCGTTGGACATACGGAAAAATTGCATCACATCTTTCTTGTAGAGGACGACGAGATCTACAATTTCCATGTAAAATTTTTTCGCTAGCGTCAGTAGTTTACGAGTTATTTGCAAAAAACTGTTTTTTCGTTTTTCGTCAATAACTCGTAAACTATTAATGCTAGCGACAAACTTTTATACAGAAATTGTAGATCTCGTCGTCCTCTACAAGAAAGATCTTATGCAATTTTCCCGTAGGACCAACGGTTTAGGAGTTATTGAAGAAAAATGAAATTTTTCGTCAAAAGTTCGCCGTTTCGACGGTGGAATGGTCGGATTTTGTCAACATCAATAAAACGCCAAATAATCATATGTAACTCGTTAAATACTCAAGTTAGAAGAAAAATACATAGAATCTTTCTTGTAGAGGACATCAGTGCCTACAATTTCTGTATAATAAACTTTTCGCTATCGTCAATAATTAAGTGGATATTTCCTTCTATACTATTTAGCACGTAGCAATTTATTATTAGCATTGTTCTTCCGACGTCTGATTTCCTTTTAATTATAGGAAATGCGTTTTTCGAAGGTACATAAACTTTTCGGATTGACTGTATAGCTAATACAACCTTAATCAGAGAGGAGGAGGACGGACGCGCTTTTGTTGGAATTCGAGTTAACGCGAGCGGTAATCCTACGGATTTTGAATCTGCATCGAATGCTTATGAACGTAGATGCTTTCTTGGGTCCCGTTTGCGATTACGTGATCGCGCCGGTGTCGCGGTACGCCGGAGTATGGGGCATCCCGGTGTTTACCGCGGGCGCGCAAGCCGAAGCGTTTCGTAACAAGGTCGCACAGTTCCCGACGCTGACCAGGATGATGGGTTCCCATCGACTGGTGGGCGAAGCCCTCAGGCATATACTGAAGCGATTCGGATGGAAGATCGCCGGTCTTCTGTATCACAATCACTCATCGGTGAGCAACCGCGGCAATTCGGAGTGCTACTTCACCCTCGACGCCGTGTTCAGGGCTCTGAATCAAACGCCGGTCTACAAAAGCTTTGATCAGGAAGAGACCACCGGCGAAGATCATAGAAACTTGCTCAGCTTCCTCGTGAAGTCCGCCAGGAGTAAGTTTAAGTAGTTAGCGAGTCGACGAACGGTGAGCGGGCGCGGGAGCTCGAGATCCATTGTAACGAGTCGAGGATAGACGGAAAATGGCAGAGAAAGAGTTGTGTTTGTTGGTTTCAGTTATAGTGATGTGCGCCAATTCCACGACCATCAGGGAGATTCTTCTCGCGGCCGAGGAACTCGGAATGGTCGACTCCGGGGAGTACGTTTTCTTCTCCATAGAGCTTTCGTCCAGGTAAGTGCGATGAATTATGCATTCGCCGTTCTAACGAACTTGAGTGCTCCCGAGCGAGGGACGATAAACTCGTCTCGAGTAACATTGCAAGCGACTTTTTCTCTCGAGTCCTGTTCGAATTTCTCCGACGTACGAGTCTCCGTCGGTCCGCGACCGAACGATTAGAGACGAACGCGCGGCGCGTCGTAAATGGAGGTACGACGTATTGTTCCAGCGATAATAATTCGAAAGAGCCGTGGAGGGTCGATACCGACACGGACGAAAGGAATGAGAGAGCGAGGAAAGCTTACCAGGCGTTGCTGACGGTCACCGCTCGGACGCCGGACAATTTGGAGTATCTGAACTTCTCGCGGGAGGTGAAGGATTTGGCGCAGAGCAAGTACAATTTCACGTTTGGTAACAGCTCGGTCTCGACGTTCGTCACAGCGTTTTACGACGCGGTCCTTCTTTACGCCATCGCGCTCAAAGACAGTTTGCCGGATCGTCCTGGCAGGGTGAACTTGGATGGTGGCAATCTCACCCGGAAGATGTGGGGCAGGAGCTTCAAAGGTGCACACCGGAGCTTTTTGTTTCCCCCTTCTCTCTCTCTCTCTCTCTCTCTCTCTCTGTTGTTCACCCGTTTGGAACGCCGCGGCAATCCGACTCACATGACGGATTTCGCACGATCCATTTGGTTTCAGGTATAACGGGCGACGTGAACATCGACGAGAACGGGGATCGGATAGCGGATTATTCTCTCTTGGATATGAATCCGGAAACGTCCAAGTTCGAGGTAAAAATGCAATTCTCCATGCATTTCAATTTTACGATTATACACGTCTACCGTTTCAAAAGGCAATCGTCCCTCTGCTTTGCCAACAAGCGTATCATCGTATCCTATTCGATTCCGCGGTAGATTATCGGGCCACTGATTACTAGAGCGATCGATTAACCGAGGATTCTATTAACGGAACATCTATAAATGGAACATTCAAATATTTGTACAGCGATAATATCTAAAGACTTAAAACGAGAGTTCTTCCGTTTCATAGATAGATCGTTTTCTTTTATAATCAGCTACCCTGGATATAGACCGAAGCTAATACCATTCGAAGATATCGCTTCGAACGGTGTGTTTCGCGATCGCGATGATTGACGTTCGTTTGTCACAGATCGTCGCTAATTACTACGGTGCCAACAAGACGTTGGAATACGTCGCTGGGAAAAAGATCCACTGGTCGGGTGGCCGATCGGAGCCACCGCCGGACACACCCACTTGCGGCTTCGACGGTTCTCTGTGCCCCGACAATTGTAAGTGGTACCTGTTCCGCGATCCCTTTGTAATTTCGCCCCGTCGAACATTTTTAATCCCATCTCGCAAATCGGATTTTCGTCTCTGCGACAGCTCTCCCGGGATACGCGATTCTCTCGATGGTGCTGAGCTCGATCGTGGTGGTTCTCGTCGTCGCCTCGGTCTTCATTTACAGGTAATTAGGCCACGATTCAATCGATCGCGTTCTCCCGTCTTTACGATCGAGTACCGATCGACAGCGATCGCGTACCGCGTCTTAACGGTGTTAATTGGCCAGCGGTGTCCAAACCCGAGCTCCGTGTTTATAAACCGATTAACCGTTAACCCGTGAGTCGGAACGCGCTCGACTAGCTTACCCCGCGGTTTCGCCCCGGAGATGCACCCACGGCAATAAATAGTTTTGCCCCTTCGGCGAATCGCGTTTAGCATCGAGAAGAAAAACGTATTTCTTTCCTCGTGTTGCAGGCACTTTAAGCTCGAAGCGGAAATAGCCTCGATGACGTGGAAGGTGCACTGGAACGATATTATCGTGGTGTCGAATGCAAAAACGAGGGGCTCGATGTATTCGTTGATCGCGAACAAGATCCGCGGTAGCCAACTGGTGAATACGAAATACATGTTACCATCGTTCTCCGTACTATAGCTCCGAGCATTTGCTCATTTTTCTCTACGCTTCGACGTGCCACGAATCATCCATAATTTCACCGTCCTTGTTTCGTAATAATTAAAATAACGATAATAGAAAAAAATCGACGGCAACGAATACGAGCAACGCGAATTCACGATCTCACGTCTTTTTGCTCACTCGATAAAATACGAAGCACGTTTTCCTTTACGCGCGAAGGCGAGCACTTGAAAAGGCTCTCGGATGCCTTTGTCTTTAGGTAGCGTCAAATCGGAAACAAGATTTTCCACGTCAAAGAAACCACGCTCGCCCGGAAACATTATACGCGATGTACTTAAAATCGAAGGCACGGAAAACTCGTCGGAACGTGCGACATGAGACAAAACTTCCTTTTTCTTTTATTACAGACGATGTACTCGGACGAGAACGCCAGCTTACTTGGAGGGGTAGATAGAAATGTTTCAACGGGAATTTACAAGGTTCGACATTATTGACGGTAAAGCGACGCGTCTCTGATAATAAATATTTTTATGCGCTCGCATAAATGTACATGTAATGTCCCCCGTGCACTCTATATTACATTTACTCGATCTTTTGCTCGAAACGATTTCTCCTTCCGAGAAATCGTAATCGTAAATAATTGTACTAAGACGAGTTAGAAAATGTTCGAAGATACAGTAACCGTATCGTTCGTCACAGAATTCGAAAGTCGCCATAAAGCTGATACAGAGGAAAGTGGAGATCTCCCGGCCGTTGTTGCTCGAATTAAAGAGAGTAAGTTTCGTGCTCGACGATGAGAAGTTTCGTGCGAACTAAAAGTTTCGCGAAATCTGACCGGCTCTGTTCTACCACCCCCGGCAAAAAGTTTTTGATCGATGCAGCGATATCGTGTTCAACGAGAATGCTTAAAAGATGAGAATTGAAACGCTTTGCCGAGGGTACGACGATTGTAGCCGGAATATCTTTGAAAACGGTAACGTTTCGGTCGTTTCGTTTAGATGAAGGATCTCCAGCACGATCATCTGGTCCGGTTTTACGGTGCCTGCGTCGAACCGCACTGGTGTCTCCTCACGGAATACTGTCCGAAAGGATCCTTGCAGGTGAGTTCTCCGCGAAATAAACGCGTCGACCCTTGTTATTTCAGCATGCTGTTCGACGCGATTTTGTACTATCCGCGGGTCGGCCATGGGGAAATACGCGGATTAACTCGGGCCGACCGGCGTACTTCGTTATCGAGTTCGATTAAAAATATAATCGAATTCCCGAGATTAAAGTTTTAGTTCTTATTCCCCGAGCCGAAGGTACTACGGATAAACTTTACAGCGAACAGGAACGGTCGGGAAAGCTCGATGTTCCGTGAACGGTCAAAAGTTAGTTAAACGAGAGAAAGTTGTATTTCGTTTATTTCCGATCGACTCTTGTATTTATCGTAGCATCGCGCTCGTGAGTTTTACCGAGTAAGTTTCACGGTTCGGGGAATACGCTCGTAGATACATGCATAATGTAACGCGCGTGCTTGGTTGCCGAGGGCAGGATATATTGGAAAACGAGCAAATAAAATTGGACCGAGTGTTTCGAGTGTCTCTCATTCATGACATCGTTCGAGGGATGGCATTTCTTCACGCGTCCGAGGTGAAGAGCCACGGCAATTTGAAGTCGTCCAATTGCGTAGTCGATTCGCGTTTCGTTCTGAAGATCGCCGACTTCGGCCTGCACGAGCTGAGGAAGGGCAATTGTAGTGAGGCTTACGTCGACGAGAATAGCTACGCTTATTGGAGAAGTGAGTATGCTCGAGATCGGCATTCGATTTATCGGAGTAATTACGCGAAGAGGGAGTCAGGTCGAATCTGATCTGTTCTCCCGTTCGCTTGGGAAAGGTCGAGCGGTGGCGTGAAACACGATCGTTGCTGTTCGTACAGGGCAGTTGTGGACGGCACCGGAATTGCTGCGAATGAAAGAGCGACCACCGGAGGGTACTCAGAAAGGGGACGTCTACAGCTTCGGCATAATCGTTCACGAGATCGTGGTACGCCAGGGACCGTTTTACTTGGGCGAAAACAGTATTCTCTCTCCAAGGGGTAAGTCGTTCCGCTCTCTTTGTTCCGGCGCTCGTACTCGGACGAATCGTCGCGGCCGCGTGGGACGCGCCTCGCCCCCCCGTGTACCACCCCGTTTGGACGCGTTACGCGAGTCGGAAAGGGGTGAGATCGACCGGTAAGAAGGAGTTCGCCGTTCGCGACCCCCGCGCAGTTCGCAGAGAATACCGAGGGGGTAGTCCGTATCGACGAACGGAATCATCGTCGCGTCGGCGGGTCTATCGGTAACGAAGTTTACGAGCTTTCGCGAGCTTGATTTCGACGGACGGCGGGCGGACAGGATCGATGAGAGGATGGAACGTGCCACGAGCAAGCTAGGAGCGTTTCGAGACCGGAGCTGAAAGCTCAGTCGAAGCTTTCACGCGTTCTGGAACGTACACGGTGGTCCGGTCGCGCGCGCGCGCGCTATCTCTCGTCGTTCTTCTCTCTTCCTCTCCTGTCTGGACGATTCGCTCTCGCGCGTTTCTTCGTTTTCACCTTCCCCTGTACCGTTTCCGCTGCGCGAGAGCCGAGAGAACGGATGCCGGAAGAGATCCTCGGTGACGGCACGTGAAATCGACCAGGCCCCCCACGCACGCGACGGCCGAAATCTCTTTCTCGGGTAGGTCTCGGTCTCGCCGGTATCTCCGACCCTCGTTTGGTCGACGCCGATCTCGCACCGTCCGGGAAGCGAGAGGAGGAACGTGTGTGATCGCGTGCCATCCTGCGTGCCTGCGTGATCCGAGTGTTTGCGTGTTCCCTGCTGCGTGTCTGCATGCCTGTGCGAGGTGCATGCCTCCGCGCCTCGCTACCCTCGCGTCCACCTCGGTACGTGCTTCTGTTTATCAAACGTTCTGCCGTCCCATTTACGCGGCCCGATTTTCCTTTTTGCTCGATATTCGACTCCCTTGCCCCACTCCTCCTGCTCCTTCGTTCGACCCCCGACCACCCCGTTTCGCAACCGCCTCGTGCCACCCTGCGTCCCCTTCTCTCTCTCCTTTCCGATTCTCGTCGTTCGTCTCTGTCCGCTGCGCTGCTTTTTCAAACCCAATTACCCTGATTTCGTATCCGAGATCCGGCAATTAATTGATTACTCGACTCGAGGCGAAGCGGTGGAGACGACTCACGGAATTAATCCCGTACGTCGCGGCACCGGCCCCGACGCGTACACGCGTCCGCGGAATCTCGCGATTACGTGCACGGAGAACGGAAGCGAAATCTCGTTCCTTCGACCACTTCCGAACGGGACGTATCGCGCGAACGATAAATAGCGCGAGGGAGCGGGAGCGAGAGTGCGAGTACGAAAGGGAGTACGCGTGGTAAATCTGTCGATGGTCAGGAAAACATAGTAATCGGGTCGGTCGGTGAAAGGAGAAGAGATGGCGGAAAGAAGCAATACGTCGAGTACGAGTAGTCTAACGTTGCTGGCGATGCCGGGTGCCAGCCCCGACGGCGGGGCCAGTCCTCGAAGGGCCGTCAGTCCGTTGCTCGAAGTCCGTAGGCCCCACTGCACCCTCAACTGCGCGACGTGCAACGCCTTCTTGGAGGACCTGTACAGGCACAGTAGGTTGCATATTTAACTTTGGCTTTTCGTCTCTCTCATCTCTCCGTCTTTCGTTGAAACGTCACGAACGCGGGTAACGCGCACGCTGCCCTTCGTCGTCAGTCCTTTCCACTACTTTTCGTTAGCTGCACGAACACCGCTCGTTTACCGAAGTCCCTGACCGAGCGCCGGCTGACTGACCGGGGACCGTTCCACTGAACGCTCCTCGAGTAGTGACATCAGCGATTAGACCGACGCGACGCTACGTCTACACCCTCCACGCCAAATTACGGATGCATCGCCTCTGTGCGATTCCCGGAATTGAATCTGTTCGCTCGACAGTGACTTTACACGCACGCAAAAGGGAAACCTTGACTCCCGAGATGAACTTTGAATTCGATTCGTAACTCGTAACGAAGCGAGATGCGGCGATCTCGTAAACAGGCGCGTGAACCGGCGTCGACTTTGTTCCAGAAATCCTCGAGGGTGTCAAGAGAGGCGGAGGCTCTCCGCTGAGGCCCGTGATCGATGAATCCGTCGACGAGGAAGTAAGCTTTCTGATTCCCTCCGATTCCCGTCACCTCATCTACTTACGAACGAAACTAACGCGATTCCGAACAGGTAGCCACCTTGATGAAACGATGTTGGGCACAAGACTCCGCGGACAGACCGGACTTTGCTACGCTCAAGCAGCTCATACGAAGGATTAACAAGTGAGTCGCGTCTTTTCCTTAGACCGAGACTCTATTCCGAAACGCGTACGAGATCCGGGAACGACGTTGTCCCACGTTTCATTTCATTAATTTTTTACGTGATTCGTAACGACGTTTCCCGTTATCCAATTTTCGCGCCAACTTTCCGTAAACGAGTTACACGTCGCCGGCTTCTAGTCGCCGAACTACGTTCCGACGGTGAAATTTTCCACGGAACGCGAAGCGACGATAAACGAATCGGAGGTCGCGTCTTCGCGGTAACACGATCGAACTCGTTGCAAACCCGTGACGTCGTAAAGCCTGTTGCTCGTAACGGTCGATCGGGCGTCGGAACAGAGAGAAATCGTCGATCGTTTCAGAGATTATGAGACCAGCAACATCCTGGACAATTTGCTCATCCGGATGGAGCAATACGCGAACAACTTGGAGACTCTCGTGGAGGAGCGTACGGCCGACTACCTCGAAGAGAAGCGCAAGTGCGAGGAACTTCTGTATCAGCTCTTACCACAGTAAGCAAGGAGTCCGTCAACGTTGTTCGTGACTCGTTATCGTTCACCTTTGGAATTATTCTCTTTTGCCGCGGCAATTGCTCGACTCGCTCACCGACACGGGTTTCGTTGGATCGAATTTTCAGATCCGTCGCGTCTCAGTTGATAGTCGGACGAAGCGTGATAGCCGAGACTTACGACCAAGTGACGATTTACTTCAGCGACATAGTCGGATTCACGAAACTCTCGGCCGAGAGCACGCCTCTTCAGGTGGTGGATCTCCTCAACGATCTGTACACGTGCTTCGACTCCATCATCGAGAATTTCGACGTTTACAAGGTGAAACGTTCACGAGATTCCTCTGCCATTTCTCGGAGACGCCGATCGTTAACGTGGACAAACAATATTGGAGGGTGCGATTTTTTTTCTCGCAGGTGGAGACGATAGGGGACGCTTATATGGTAGTGTCGGGATTACCGGTGAGAAATGGGATGAATCACGCTAGGGAAATTGCGAGGATGAGCTTAGCCCTTCGAGACACGGTGATGACGTTCAGTATTCGTCACAGACCTTACGAACAATTGATGCTTCGGATAGGAATGCATTCCGGTGACTAAAAATCATTTTACCGTATTATCATTTTTCCCTTCGTATGAAGGGTTTCAAACGTGACGCACCGATTCTGATTCGAAGGGCCTTGCGTTGCTGGCGTGGTCGGTCTAAAAATGCCGAGGTACTGCCTCTTCGGCGATACGGTGAACACAGCGTCCAGGATGGAGAGCAACGGGGAAGCTCTGAAGATCCACGTCAGTCCGACGACGAAAGAGATCCTCGACACTTTCGGGACGTTCCAACTCGTTTGCAGGGGCGAAGTCAACCTGAAGGTATCCGAGTTCTAAATGTTTCATCGGCCGTTTCGAGCCGCCTGTTTATCGTTCGCAGGGCAAAGGTACGATGACCACGTACTGGCTGATCGGCGAGAAACCGGCAGTGGCCACGCTGCAACGGAGCAACTCAGTGTCGTCGCCGGCGACGGCAACGACCGTGGCGACCATGACAACGACGACGACGGTCTCTACGTCGAGCGGTCAGACTTCGACGCTTGAAGCGAGTCCGGTCACGGTTCAAGCGTCGCAGGTGAGGTCGCAGCAAGAGAAGAGGTCTTCGCAGCCGACGCGACAGGACCAGAGCTCTGATCGAACGACTCAAACGGCGTCGAGTCAACAGCTCCGACGGCAGGACCAGCGGCCTGCTCAGAACAGGAAAGGAGCCAGCAAGGACGGCGGGGACGTCGAGGACGGTGGTGGCGACAAAGGGGGAGGCGGGGGTCGGAACAGTGGCCGGGGTGAAGGTGAAAGTAACAGTGAGAGCAGCGGGAACAATGTCGGGGGTGCTGCGTGTGCAACGGGAAACGGCGTAGCGGGAATCCGCGGCCGCGCGATAGCCACGGAAACGCCGTCACCGTCGCGAAGTCGCTCGTCGGTCTCGTCGTCGATCTCCCAGCGACGTTCCTACCAATCCGGGGAGAACGTGCCGAACCACGCGGAGAGCGGGCCGAACGCGCCGCTCCTCGTGTCCGCGACACCCCCGCCACGAGTCTAACTTCCTTTCCCTCCACGATTCTTCTGTCCCTGGGGGACGGAGAGAAGCAGGAAAGAGCGAGAATCGTCTGATTTCTATCCGTTCCTGTACCCTCCTCCATACCCTCCGCGTGTACTCGTATCTTGTGTCGCTCGGCGCTTACGCGATCCCACGTCGATAAATCGATTTCATTCGTAATAGGTGTAACACCGTGTTTCGTCTAGTGTAGCAACGAAGATAACTCCGATCGGTGAACCAGATCGAAATTTGGGTCCACACGTTCGAAAGGAAACTTACCACCTTTCGAAGTAAAAAAAATGCAAATATGGGAACACGATCGTCGTTCGACGAGGACCGATGGGACCCGCGCGCGTTTCCTTGGACGCACGGTCCGTCTTCGCGACTGAAAAAGGCCTATGCTTCTTCTAATTCCTCGTTTACGAAGAGTTCGTCTCTTTCTTTCTCTCTCCTTCTCTCTCCGCCGACGTCCGCCTCGTAATCTCGAGATGGACGACTTTCGACGCATCTTAAGGACCATCTTTCGGCGGAGAGAAAGAAAATCGAAGACGAAACCGAGATCGCGCAACGCGCGGCCGAAACGAATTATTTTTTGCGCGTGCGCGAAGCTCGATCGAAGATTCAAGAGAGAACGGAGACGACGAAGGAGGACGATCACGGTTTACGGTTGAAGACACGTGAAAGCGGTCCATCCGCGGACGATGGACGTTTCGGAGGAAATGAGCACGAACCAAAGCGAAGCAAATGCGGAGCGGAGAGCAAAGAGAAAAGAGCAAGTGAAACGGAATGTGTGAGTCTAGCGCGCGCACACGCGTCTTTCTATGTTTCGAAGAGACTATGAGCACGAGTATAGATGATGTATTCGTGAAAAACTTAGGCGTCGATAAGTGTGAGAGAGCAGAGAGAGGCTGGACCTCGTTTCAATGAAAGTCAGTCATGTAGAAAGATATCGAGATGCAAGCGGCGTAAGTGAATCGTCGAACACGCTTTGTTGGCTACGCGAGTTCGTTGTCTGTTTGTATGCACGCGACCAAATTATCGCAACAGCCCCACTTTTTCTGAACGATGCGATGTAACGGTGGATGTTCGGAGAAATAAAGTTTCATCGACTCCACGCGCTTCGACTTGGCATCCCTACGCACCGTCGCGACCGGCCAACGCGGCCTGATCCAAACAAGGGAACTCGCGACAGGCGCTTCTTAAACGCTGTCTACCATTAGATTCGTCAGAAAATTAAAATCGCGGAAGCGTGGAAGATCGCGACACGGTAAGTATTTGCTCGTGTATGTGTACACGTGCGCACTCGCATCGACTCTCACTCGCTTGGTACGCAACCCGTGGCACGCCTCCACTTTTGGTCGGCGGACATCGAGGCGCCCGTATCGCGTTCTCGTTCACGTAACGGCGCGTTGAAATATAAGGAAGCTCTTTATCGATTCGCGAGATAGTTTCGCGATTAGTTCGAACTCCTGGACACGTTTCAACTTCGTGGAATCGGTCCAAATCGCAGCGCGGCGCGATTATAGAAAAACGTGGAAAAATGGGAAAAGGGTAGAGAGGGGAAAGGAGGACAGAAGGGAAAAGGGAAGAGGGGCGGGAAAGAGAAGGCGAGATCGAGGACAAGCAAGCGGAGCCAGGGGCATTTCCATTTAAGGCACCCCGCGTGCAATCTCTCGCTCCTCTCGGCGCCACTTTGACACGCATACTCGCCGAGTATCCTACCTTCGCCCAACATCGTGCAACACGCTTCACGTATCGAACGCCTTTTCTCATCTTCCCAGAAACATTATTCATTTAAATCATGTTCATCGTTTATTCTTACATTCATCATATTCGACAGCCGTTCGTCCTTTAAGATCGCGAGAAATAATTGAGGAGACGTCATAATGCTTTTTAACCGGATGCAAGGAAAAATGATGGAATTATTTTCCTTTCGATTTGTCCCGTCGCCATTTACGCGGCGTCGTTTATTGGAACAGGTTTAGCGTTGGGATCCTTCAGATCTAACGTGTACGCGTGCACCTTAGTCTCTTTCGTGGTCGGATCGTAAATTCTTTCAGTGTGGCGGAGAGTGTCGCCTACGATCTTGTCAATGCTCTCGCGCACGTACGGTTTCCCATCCGAGGTGCGACCAGATTGAACGATCTTCGTCTCGCCGTTGCCAGACACGAAGATGTTGGACCCCTTCGTTTGCACCACGTTGCCCTCGGTAGCTGAAATTCAGAAAGTACGTATCGCAAATGTTTCTTATACGAGCAAAGATCCGCCCGTTCGGATCCAGTCTCGTTAGCGATCGATTGAGAGGCATACATGATCGCGATGGATGGTGTTCCCACCTTGAAAAACTGAGAGGGACAGAGAAGGATCTATTAATCGACGGTGAAAGGAACGTTCAGGCGACCTGAACCGTGTAATTTCCGGGGAAAAGGGCGAGCGAGAGAAAAATCGCATCGATTCGCACGGTTACCTATCCTCTCGTTTAGGTCGTTCGTCATCTGATGAACCTGGGCCAAATTGGCTTGCACGGTTTGCTGTACTTGTTGGTTCAATTGTTGCACGCTCTGCTGGATGTTCCTGTTCAACGCGCCGATGCTCTCGGACAATCCGCTCAGCCAGCCCGCTCCCGCGTGCGCTTGCCCATTCGAGCCACTGTCAATCGAAACAATTGCTACATTCGCGAATACGTGTCCACCGTCGATCACAAAAGTCCACTGTGCTCTCCCGTCCAATTTCAAATCGTTAGCGTTAATCGGCAAACAGCTGTTTCAGTTGTACGTTTATCGGTCGAAACATAGTTAAAAAAGAAGACGTTCCTTGGAAATCGTCTATTCTCTTCGTATCGTGGACTTTGGTCACTGACTGTACACCCGACGTAATCGTAAGCTGGCAAACCGGTCGACGAACCACTAACCTGCACAACATAGTTGCGACGAATATCGCGAACGCGACGCCGACTCGTCTCGTCATTCTTGGTCTACGACGTTTTTGCAGTTTCTTTTCTCTTGATTATTCCTCGGCTCGCGATTTCTCTTTTTTTTTTACTCGATACCAAGCGAACAGTATGCTTCACCCACGTCCAATGGAGTAAGAGAAGTATCCACGCGTGAATAAGAAACGCTCGGTGGCAACTAGTTTTCCCCCTTCGGATCTCTCCTTCATGTCCGTCGACGTTTACTTTTTCAACTCTCTCGATTTATAGCATAGAACGTCCGTGAACAGTCATGCGCGTAAATACTCATGCATCCACGTCGCGAGTTATGATGTATTCCTCTTATCCGTTGCATCAACGTAGAACGCGTGTTTAAAACGCAATTGTTTAGAATCCTCGCGTTGTTGAAAAATCTAACGAGGCTAATTATTCCGATTCGAGACGAAACGCGATCCTACTTAGCCCGCGACTTCCTCGTCATTGGTAATAATTATCAGTCGTGGTACTTCAAGAATCGCGTCGGAACGAGAGCACAATTGAATTCACTGGAAATACGACTCAATGATTTAATGATAACGACATACTTTTCGCTAGAACGAAGAAAAAAGTTTGCAATAAACAATTGGCATTTTATTGGTACTGACAAAATTCGGCTATTTCTTATTTCGGTTGCAATATATTTAGGAAGCCGTCAAAAATTGTAAACTTTTTCGTGTGACACAAAGTCCCATACGGTTGCCACTTTTTAGTAATCGGTGATCGAAGGAAAGCTGTTCGTGCGACGTATAAAAAAAGTTAGATAGCGAGCCGCGGGGTTATCCGTGAGATGAAATTCGTCGAAGAAGAGATCAAGTTGAGGAGTTTCTAACGATGCCGTGAAATTGTTCGAGGAAGATGAGAAAGCACCGTGGCGCAGAGAAGGATCGGAACGAGGGATTTGGCCAGCGAAGAGGAGTGTAGAAGCAGAAACTGGTTTCCGGATTCGGATTACGCGGCCCAAAACGCTCTCACGTGTACGGACACATATTGAAGCGCATCTCGGACACTTAGTATGAAAATCTTCCTCTTCGACGCTCGATCAATGTTCCTAAACCGTTCTCCTGTTCATTCGAGACGAAGTAGCGTGTACAAAATATCCATATGTATAAGTTGTACGCGTATCGACCTCCCACACGATCGTCGCTACGGCAAACGGGGTTCTTCCGTCCTTGAACCCTCTCCGCCCCTCCGAACACCCTTCCTGCTCTTTATTCTCCGTTCTTTTCGTCTTCCCTCCGCCTGACTCGCCCGCGGAGACCCGGAGAAGCAGGTAGCGAGCCACTCGTAAACGCATAATCGTCTCGTTCCCCTCGTCCCCCCAGCGCGTCTCAAGACGAGAGAGCGAAAGGGATATTTGTGTGGAGAAGGAAAGGTAGAAAACTTGATCGGGAGGGTGATCGACCTTGGACGATTTGGCCCTCGGTCAGGGGGCTGGACGTCCTTTGTCAAGGATGTCAATTTTCAGACGGGATCGAATGCACCCATACCAGCGACGTAGGTACTCGAGGGATCCCTCGCTGGTCACCCTAAGCCATATTTTCATTAGCGTTCGATTAACACCAATCTTCCACTTACCGATCCTAACGTTTCAAATGTATTCGTAGCGAGGCGATGGGGATTTGTTATTCATAGAAACGTAGTCGATACAGGATCAACGGACGTTCGACACTTTATCGGCTTGAGTAAATCCGGTTCAAGCGATTTCAGATTTCCAGAGGATTTCAGGTAGCCCGAAGGAAACGACGTTTTAAACGAACCGGGGATCGTAGATCTCGGCCCTCTGCAGGGATCTCTGGAAAGCTGCCGAGCGAGTCTTTCCATCGATCAGCGATAGTGGGGATAGACGTACGGGCGTACGACGCTACGGCTTTTACAGTGGTTCAGTCAGTGATCTCGCTGCAGCCCGGCTGAGAAACGTGTAGTTTTTAAGCCCCTCTCTCACCCTCGTGTTTACTCTCGAGTTTCACTTATACACGATAAATTCTCGTTGCTTGTTCCCCGAAAACTTTCTATCGACCACTACGATTCCGGTTGGACGATAAGAGCCGCTCGAGCACCGATAACTTTTGATCTCTTCAATTAGTATTCGAACTTTTTAAATGCGCGATCGTGAGATTTTGTTTCCGAACGCTCGGACCTGTTCTCGAGTTCTATAAGAGCGTAAGAGGAGCGATACCATGCGGAGAAGAGGAGAGAAGAAAGCGTCGCTGAAATCCATGGATACGTGATCGATCGGCTTCCCACGAAACCCGTGAGTACCGCACGAAGTTTAATCGCACCTACACCTATCTATCTGATTCAATTGCTCCGGTTTAAATTTCGCCGACCTCTCTTTCCGTCCAACGCCGCTTAATCGCCTCGACTCTCGCGTCTTACCATTTGATACACGCGCGTGTATGTAGGAGTAAAAACGTGCCTCTCGGAACTAAACAAGACGGAGGAGATCCGAAACGGAGAGAGAAGACCGGCCGCGCGGAAACCCCGGCCCGAATTCGTATGTATTGCGCGCGCGGAACATCGCGTCCCGACGTTGTCCATTCGCGATATGAATTATTCATAGAGCCCTGCACTTTTTACTGTTCTCGTTGAGAAACCGACTCTCGTACGATACCGAATATCGTATCTCCGAAGACTTTCGAGTTGCATGAAAAAGTCACGAGGAAACGATGTACCATTTGCGTCTCGACGAATTGAATTTTTCAATAAATGCACGAACGCGTTCGATATACGAAGGAAGGTGATTTACGTTCGCCCGTCGAGCGTGTGGTTTCTTTACTGCTGGTCACGTACGACGCGTTTGGGTCCTCGTATATTTTGTCCCATAGGCGATTTCGATCGTCGTCTTCTGTAATTTGATGGTAAAACGTGTTCTGCCCTTCGGTCACACAGCCCGATTGTTCGCACTTGCGGGAGCCAGATCTCTGGTTCACGGTTCTCTCGTTTTCGGCGGTCGAGCAACTTTTGGTACTGCGATCCGAAACGGCGATCCGTATAAGGAGTTGGCCTACTCCGACTCTCGTTCCTGCTCGAGGATCCAGTCCCGTGGCCACGGGATGCGAATCCGTGAACGAAATAAGGTACATCAGTGACTCGTCCATTCTCCGAACTATGATCCCTGATTCGTGGTACTCGGTAGTAAATTGTATCTACGACACCGAGCACCGACACTGACCAGATGCCTTTCCGGAGAACTCTACGCTTTTCATTTATTCTCCGAACGAATCTCCGTGCCATGGACTCTACGTCGCATGCACGTACGAGGCATTGAACGTTCGTTCAAAGCGAGACGAGTGAAACGAGAGAAACAGGGAAGAAAGTATTCCACGATTCTTAGATAACGTACGCGATAAGACACAGCCTCGCGGTATGGAGCGCGATACGTTCCTGACGTGTGCAAATAGACGTTGAAGTCGCGAAGGGAGCTCCGCGTTCCGTGAAACCGCACTTTCTCGCCCGCGGCAAGGCAGCCTCGACGTTACCTTGCCTCTGCCCGTGTCTAAACGCTGAGTCGATTCGATTCGCTCGGCGAAAATTTAGTCTCATCGTTCACCGGAGATGCACGCGTTCATCACCGATCTTGTGGGATAGATCCACTTCGACGTTCGTCAAATCTTTCGCGGCCGCGAAACCAGTCCGAAGGCGATTCGAGCGTGAACGCGGTCTTTGTCGAGGAACCCTCCTCGTCTTCAGAGAGCTACTCTTCTTACGTCCGTCTCACTGGCGTAACGAGGAAGCCGAGGGTCTGTACGCAGAACACGATTTAACGAATAAATACCGTTTTACCCGATGTAACGACGTAACTTCGTACGTATTCCCTTTGACGTGATAATATGTAGGTATGTATAAATAAATCCTCTCCTACGTACGCGACGCATCCTTCGACGGTCGAGCATATGCGACCTTTCGAAAAATTCACCCTTATCGCTGCCCGAGTACACAGATCTCCGAGATAAATTCTCGTACTTGTTAGGAACGAGCAGTAAAGCTGGCGATACCGCTGCGTTTACGATAAAGAATTCCCGAAGCCAAGGTAGGTGCATCGGTAGACGAGTCGTCGCCACGTTGCGTCTCTTATCGATTCGAGAATCATTCGCTTCCGGTCGAATTTCATTCAGTGATACGCGAATCGGTGCTTCACGTAACGCTTTACATTTCCATCGTTCGACGCGAACTCGATGGAATGTAGCAATCTAGCTCGATGGAACAGGGAAAATATTTGTATCGTAGGCGTGAAGTAGAAATCGTCGCGGCGATATGTACGTGCGATTTTGCACGGATTCCGCGATCTTCACCCTCGCTCAATCTCGGTAACAGTGACCGTACACGGGCTATGTAGAGGTCGACCCGATAGATGCCCCCCGTTATCGGTGACGAGCGGCTGGCGAACGACCGATCGACGAACCACCTGTTTCCTTTCGATCTCCGTGCGCTCGGTTCGCAATAGCCGCGTCACGATCGGGAGACCGGCCTCGGTCGTGGCCATCGGAGATGCGACGACGATCTCGCGATCCGAGAAGAGGCGACAGCTCCGGATCTCTCGCCGATGTGAGTCGCGGCAGCCGTTACCATGTTTGGCGACCCGCTCCCATAAAATTTCTCGGCTCCGGGGCTCCACGTTTCGTTTCTCCCGTAACAGCTAGCACCCAGCGACCGGCCTACTCGCATCGTAAATCGCGTACGAGTCGGTCAACGCGATCTCGCGAACGCGGCTTTCCTCTAACGTACAGCGACGATCGACACCGAGCAAAGCGGTTTTGTCAACGTTTCCTTTATGGAGCGTTAGCGCTCGAAATGCCATGATCGAGTTTCGGTTATGCAAACGTCGCGTCGGGGACAGACCTGGTCCGCGCGGGATTTCACTTCGTGCCTATCGTTGCGAATTTTAATACGATTCGGTGTATCTATGCTGGCTTTTGCGTCTCACTGTACAGCGTAAGCGTTGCATAGAAAACGAGACGGTCCGAAAGAGAGAACGGGAAAGGAAGAGTGCCGAGCGCGAGCCACACCCTGCGATCATAGTCCCTGGAAAATCATCGGACGCTGCGAGCGAAGATAGCTTTTCCGGAAAAGAAACTCGCGTTCCACGTGAAAACACTTCTCTACCAGTTCTATTGGCTCTTCTAATCTAGCGTAGAAACTCGGACTCGCTTTTATCGCCTTACTGTTATCTTTTAAGGTAATCGAAAGGAGACCAGCGTTTCTCGCTTATGCGCGATACGAGATCTCTTGTATTTTTCATCTTAATATACATTTATATATATATATATATATATATATATATATGTACAATATATTAATAATAATCGTTGCCATGAACATGATCTTTCCCAAATTCAATTCCGTTCGTCAAACCTGATGAACGGACATGAAGACGGATCGGTCCATCGGAATACATCTACGATCCCGACGCGACGATTAACGAGAGTCGTGCGTACATGTGTACGTTTGTTCGTCGAACGCGGTTATCTGTCGCGAGCAAACATAAATATGAAGCTAAGGAGAACGACGACGACGTCGTCGATTCGATATCACGTACCTACAAACCGTTCGTTTCTCTTCTGTAACAGGGACGATGGTCGTCGCCGTCGCTCGACACCGTTCAAGATGCATACTGTGTACTCGCGCGGCGGATACGGTAAACCGTCATCTGACCGGCCTTATTCGCGGCGAGTGTCAACGGTACCGTCCTCATCTCGACCTGTTTTTAAAAAATAAGAACCCTGTTCGCCAGGTATCATTTTTAACGAATATTAATAAGTAAGGGTGTCACCGGTGAACATCGCATCGCGGGCGTGACACGTTTCCTGACTCGTTCGCTGCATTACGACCCTCGGTTTTTTTTCTCGACCGAGGAACAGGGTGGAAGAGGAATCGAAGAACAAAAGATATTTATAAGTCCCTTGTATCCCTTTTAGAGTTTCGGGACCACCGTGACGTTCGTGTATTCGCGCACGCGACCAGACCAGGGGCTTTTAAAAAGTTTACCCTACCGAGACCACCGCAACGTCGACTAGAATATTTTATCGCGGCGCCTCGCTCGGCGAAGCACTCGGAATTCCGCACCCCTGGAACAGTCGTGTAAGAAGAACCAAAGATCAAATATCACGTGAAAACAGCGAGATTGGAAAAGGCTGTCGTAAACGCAAGTCGAAAGAAGTCGGGAAAAAGTAACCACTCAATACACCCTGGAAAACGATCGACCTTTCAGGGTCGGGTTGTAGCTTCGAGAGGAAGGATTTATGACGCCCTCGAGTGTTTTGGATGTTGTCACAGCTCGTAGCGGTATTTTACGAGGGTTCTTTCTTTCAGTTTTTGTTCCGTTTTCTCACACTTGTTAGATTTTTCAAATCCGCTCGTTGTTGGTGAATTAAAATTAATCATCGTACAGTATATATAACAATTAATAGAAACAGCTGATAAAGCGTGAGATGAATGTTGAACCAGAGTCCCACTTGTATCGTATCGTTGTTTTTTATTATAAAACATTGCATATCGCGTGTCAAAATTTATTTTTATCGTTATTGCGGCACCGTGTTGTCGGATGATACGCAAAGGCGATTTACGATGGACAGACACGAAGCGCTGTGCTAACCACAATCAGGCTCGACGTCGTACCCTCCATCTTAAAATTTAAGAGTCCCAAAAGTTAGTACTTAACTTTTTGGAATTCTCGACCACAAAAGTGTTCCCTGAAAACGAAAAGCAAGTCTTGTCTGAAGTGGATCCATACCCGGCCCTCGAGGATAACGCAAGGGCTGGACATGTACAACTGAAGAAGCCCTTCAAAACAATGACGACCAGCAGGGAGCCCCGAGCCTGTTCGATCACCGAATCGTGTCGTACCACATAAATCTGTCTCGGGATTTCTCGCGTACAGTCTGCACTTACTTAGTTAAATACGTGTCACGTTTCCGAGGCAAACCAGAACCAGCAGCAGCAGCAGCAGCAGCAGCAGCAACCAGGAGCAGCGGTGTCCGTGTCTGCTGGCGTTTCAGCTCGCGTCCTCCTTTATCCCGCTCCCGCTATCTATTCATAGACGAGAAAGCAAGCTGTCACCGTGACACCACGTTCAAAGACTAAAGACAAAGAGCGTGCAGAACGAGATACGTAGAGAGGACGACCGCGTAGAACTCAGCTTCGAGCGTACGTGTGTCGCGAATTATTTTAGTGGTCGAACTGTGAAAAACTGGAGAACTCGCGACAGTTCTCCGAACGGAGCCGGAAGAAGCACGTCGATCGGGAATATCGCGATCCTGCGACCGGCACCCGGCACACGGTACGGAGACGTAGGCGAGGTCGTCGACCTTGCGAACGCTCCCGGCTGTCCGGTCGTCCGGCTGTTCACCAACTTTCGTCCGCGTCTCCTCGCTCATACACGCTCTCACGATTATTCGCTTATCGACCGTTTTTAATTGATACGTGCACAGGCTTCGTTCACCTTCCGAATCTGTCAATTGCTCGTTCATGAATCAGTTACCGTCTTAAAAAGATTCGACATGCCGATTTATAAACGATTCTGCGATCTATCGGTTTCTGTTCTCAGGTAAGAAAAGGAGGACGAATCCCGATCGGGATGGACCGGTGGCCGGTGCGTCTCGCCGTCTTGGGGATCTTGGTCGCCATCGTACGCACGGCCGACGACTTCCGACGCATCTCCTACGAAGGTAATTATCACACCGTATCTCTGGTTAGGCGATCGTCATCGTACGCGATAAGATTTTGCTGTGCGAAGTGGTTTAAGTGCCTTCTCGCATGTCTGAATCCTCTGTGGCTTCAGATCGGTCGCGAATCTTGTTCGAGCCAACGAGTTTGCCGATCGGTTCGGACGTGGGCGTCGAGGCGCGTCGCGTCGCGTGCCGATTACGCGATTCGAATCGAACGCCTCCGCTGTGTACCTCGCTTAGTTTCGTCTGCTGTGTTTGATTAATGGGAAATCGAAGGAAAATGGAAAATATCGTTTAAGATCCCGCGAGGCTGTTCTTCCTTTCTCCCACGAGGTCGCAAAATCGCGAACTCGATGCATCCTCCTACGATCATGGAAAACCTCTTACTATCGAGACTTCTTATCGCCTTGCGTCACTCGAAGAGCCTCGTTTAAAACTCATCGGACTTCGATTAACCGTACGATCGCGAGCTAGCTCATGGAAAGCGAATTCTGTACGTGCACGATGGAATTTAGTTGAACAATTGAATCGAAAGCGAAGCGTGGAGTCTGTTTTTCGGTCTGGTCCCGGTCGGGGAAAATGATGGGCAACGTGTTTACGTCGACGGACGCGGAGGAACGGACAGGACGATTGAACATGGGAGCGGAGAAAGAAGAATACGTGGTAAAAAAGAAAAGATGCGCGTCTAACCGAGTCCTAGGGCTGAAAGAGGAACGGGCCGCGAAGATACGGGTCGGCGCGGGAAGGTAAAAAGAGAAAAGAGAAAGAAGGCGGAGAGCGAAGGGAGGGTAGAGGCCTTCGAGATCAGGTTATGCTAACTGGGGCCCGTTCGTCCCACACGTATCTACTTATAAGCGAACGTACGCGGTTACACGGACGCCGGTGTAACTGGCGTAAGTCGCAGGCACGCGTGGCGCAGGCGAAGCCGCGCGTACACACGTGCATCTACGTACGTCTGTATGCGCGCGAGTAGCTGTAGCTGGATTCGAGGAAACGCGAGAAGTACGACGAACCGCGCGCGACCAGCCAGCTACCTTTGCGGAATCGTTTCTCTCCTCGTGTCGCGTTGGCAAACCGGCTGAAAAACAATAAGGCGACCACGAAGCCAACTGGAGAAACTCGCGATATCGCGGGAGCCGATAGGACGCGTCGATCCTCGGACTTTAAACCCGGAGCTTTAATTCGATCCGAGCAAGAAAGCTCGATCGAACTCCGACGTCCGTCCCCGTCACGGTTCTCAAGACGAATCCTTCGCGTCGTTTGAAATCGCGCGGGAATCGATACAAGAGTATTCGAAGGGGTCTGCAGAGCTCGTTTAAGAATTCTCAACGTCCTCGGAGAATCGAGGATGGTTCCGCGCGAGCTTCGAGCCCGAGTAAAAACTGGAAAATCCGCGGCGAGCATCGACTCGCGGTCGTCGCTAAACTAGTTTGTCCGGAAGGGAAAAACGATTCGTTCTCGGAACGTGGAAACGAACGATCGATGTGCGACGCGAAGACAATTAGAGGAAGCGCGCGATTAAGAAAATTCGTTGGAACGAGTAAAAGAATCTCGAGTCTCTTTTTCCGGTTACCGAGAACGAAACATATCCTCGGAACAACGATACCACGAACGTTTCATTCTGCAGAAGAGCCCGTAGTAATTAATGATCTTTCGCGACTAATAATAGATGAATCGAAATGAACAAGCACGATTTGTCGTTTACGGCGCGGAGTTAACGACTAGAAAGCGATTCTAATTCGATCGACGAGGGAGCGTGCTGTCATATATATTGGAACGAAACGATGCGTGTTTCAGATCTGGCGGATGGCAATCTCTTTCAACAGGAAGGAGTGACATCGTATTCACAATTGCTGTTCGACGTCGCCAGACAGCAGGTCGTCGTCGGTGCACGGTACGTTCATCTACATACATATATATATTTCATACGCGTATTGGACTTCTTGGAGACGAACGCGTTTCCGCGTTGAACATCGCGAATCGAGAGCAATCGCTGAAGTGGAATGTGATTTGGCCGTTTGCCAAACGGCTAGCTTTTCTTTTAGGTCTCTGCCCTTTGCCTTTCGAATGCTGTCTGGCCGTAAGCCAAATCGCCCGACTAACCGACTAAAATACGTTCTCCGCCAAATCGATCGACCGGACTAGAGTCACGCGAGAGATCGTTTCCATAGAGAAACGCGGGAAACGCTCGAAAAGATTTAAGTAGCTCGCGTTCCAGTCTGTCGATCGGAAAAAACGTGACGGCTGCAGGAACGCTGCTGGGCCGTCTTTCGATCGCGGATCGAGCGTGAAAAGCCGAGTACGCCCTCGTGTTCCCGCTATTAATAGAACGCTTGTTATTGACCACGGCCCACGTACGCACCGGCGACCAGTCGAAAGGAACGCGTGCTCGTTCCATCTAAGTACCTACCCTCGATTAAATTCCGCCCGATTCGAAACTATCGTTGATCGACGGTGAACGTGGGACAGCGTTCCAAACCGCGAGACCCCAGGGGAACTCGGTGAAATCCGTTTTCACCGATTCTCGATCCATCGCGGAGAAACCGCGAGCTGACGCGGTAGCACCGGCTCGAGAACATGAGGAGGAGAGGAAGAAGGAGAGTGCGGGCGCCGGTCTAGGTGCGCGTGCACCACGGCGCCACGATTTGCATTCTTCTGGTTTCGATTCTCGTGCTCTCGGCAGCGTTCTCGTGACGTCACCGAATCTTAGGCACGTCGTACGCGCGACAAGTAACAGGAGAGAGGCGCGTGCCTGTTCCTTTCCAGGATCGTTGCTGCGGACCACGCGAATAAATTACCCTTGTCGCGACTACGGCTCTCGATGTTATCCGACCGCTTCGATTTTTAGAATTACAATCAGAACTACGGTACGACGATGGCTCGAACGCGACCTCGTTTCGAGCGGTACCGTCGCACGGAGCTCATTATGATCTATGTTGAAAAATGCGAATCGATCGAGTAGATACAGACGGTCGCGTACAGGCCGTCGAACTCGCGTGACGAACGAACCTGTGAATCGTTGGACAAAGATTCGGTCCGAGGAACGAGGCCGCTGTTACGATCCGTTCTATTCGTTTAACGAGCAGGAAGCAATCTGTCTGAACAAGATTGGCTGGAACGACCGTCGGCCCTTCGACTGGATCGTTCTTTCTCGAAAATCGCGCCGTTTCGCTCGAGCAACGATCGTTTTTGGTCAGAGTGTCGCGGCGCCCACGTAGGCGCCGTTCATGCTTCGCTGCGAGTTTTCCTACGGATCGCGCGACGCCCGTTCTCCGCTCGGCGCGGCTTCGCGGCACCGCGAGAGCGGCGGCCGCCGCCGCGGCGTCCCACGCGTGAACCGTTCCGAACAGATCGTTGCGATTCCAGGGACAATTTGTACCGATTGACTCTGACTTTGTTGACGCCGCTGGAACACGCTTCCTGGCCCGCGCCCGATGACAAGAGCAACATCTGCCAAAACAAGGGGCAGACCGCGGAGGACTGTCGGAACTACGTCAAAGTACTCCTCAGCAATGGGAAGAGTCTACTCACTTGCGGCACGTACGCGTTCAGCCCGTGGTGCACGTGGCGAGAAGTAAGCTATTCCGTCGACCCGTTCAAAAATCGTGCAAAAATATTTTGCATCCTGACGAGGCTAATGAGTTGAACGATCGGACGTTCCTCGCAGATCGAGAACATCAGCAGCATCACTAGCGACATGTCGGGAGCCGCGATGTGCCCTTATTCGCCGCGCGCCAACGTGACCGCGTTGCTGACCAGAGGTCCGACCAGAGGTCTGTTCACCGGTGCGCCTACCGACTTCTCCGGCGCCGATCCGGCGATCTGCAGAACTCTCGCCTCGCCTAACCCGAACCTCCGCACCCACCAGTACGATTCCAGGTAAGCCGAGTTAGGACGTGAAAAGCGAGAAGATCGCGTGAACGAGTTCGTCGCCGTTTTCAGATGGCTGAACGATCCGCAGTTCGTCGGCAGCTTCGAGACGGAGGATCACGTGTACTTTTTGTTCCGCGAGTCGGCCGTCGAGTACATCAATTGCGGCAAGGTAACGCCCGGGCATACGGGTTCGACGACCGTTCGCAGCGTCTCTTCCCTTTCCATCGGTTTACCGTCATCTCTCGTTCTCTCGGTTGCCCGCAGAAAATCTACTCGAGGATAGCGAGAGTCTGCAAGAACGATCGCGGCGGCCAGATCATGATGAAGGACGTTTGGACCACGTTCAGCAAGGCGCGATTAAATTGCTCGCTCCCCGGCGAGTTCCCGTTCTACTACGACGAGATCCAAGGCGCGGTCTATCATCGCGAGGAAGACGTCGTTTACGCGACGTTCACCACGCCCATGTGAGTACAAAAAGCTTTGCGATTACCATGTACCCGTCTTACGTTCCTCTTTACGTTTTCCCCTTCACCGACGTTCGTTCCGGAAGGAACGTGGAAAACGGTACGTACAGCCCAGCCGACGTCCTCTGGCCGTACATTTGTAAAAAGAGAATCTCGTTCTTAAAGTCGCGTCGCGTATTTTTAGTAACGGCATCGCTGGCTCGGCCATATGCGCTTTCAACATGACTGCGATCACGGCGAGCTTCAACGGGCCCTTTAAATACCAAGAGAACTCTGGCGCCGCTTGGGAAAGGAGACCAGTGGCCCATCACAATCGACAGCGGTGCGACTCGTCGGAGAAGGTGGCTCCACATCAGATCATAGACAACCAGAGGTACCAGCTGATGGACGACGCTGTTCAGAGCACGATGCTCGAACCGCTGCACACCGCGGTCCTCGAGAGGTTCACGTTGATCGCGCTTGACGTCACGCCGACCAAGTTGCACCGCGTAGTGACCGTCCTCTACGTAGCTACCGACCTCGGGACGATCAAGAAGATCTCCGTGTTGCCGCGAACGCAGGAGAGCTGCATCGTCGAGGTCTGGGGTCCGCTCCCGTCCACCCCGATGACCATGCAGTTCTTGAAGGACACGCACAGTTTGTACGTCGGAACGGAAGTCGGTTTGATGAGGTGGGTACCACAAAACTTTATTTTACGATCGAAGACCAATCGCCGTTTCTTCTATCTCCAGAATTCCCGCGGCGCAGTGTCACAGACATCGAAGTCGACAAGCGTGTCTGAACGCCCAGGAACCGTACTGCGGATGGAACGAGCATCTGATGAAGTGCGCACCGGCTCCGAAGGAAAGTTATCTCGCGAATCATTGGCACCAGGAAGTGACCAAGTGCCCGGTTCTCACGGATCCCGTCGACGGTGGCTGGAGCGCGTGGAGTTCCTGGTTCCCGTGCCAGCACGGCGCGTCGGAACACGCGTACTCGCACCCACGTTCCCATGCGCACTCGCACACGCATTCGGAACACGCGGAGGACGCTTGTCTGTGCCAGACGAGGGAGTGTAACAATCCGCCCCCGCAACACGGTGGGGCGAGCTGCACCGGGTCCAGGGTCCGAGTGACTAACTGTACGGTTCACGGCGGATGGACCGCGTGGTCGGCGTGGTCGGCGTGCTCACAAACCTGTGGTTTTGCCATGAAGACCAGGCGTCGATCTTGCACGAATCCCGCGCCGGCGTTCGGTGGCCGAGTCTGCGTCGGCCACGATCACGACGATATCGTCTGTATAGATCTGCCGCCTTGTCCCACCCCGGCCAAAGCAGCGTCGCCTCCAGCGACTGGCCAGTGGTCTTCGTGGTCCGATTGGGACGCTTGTTCCCGTCCTTGCAATGGAGGTAAGTAACAAAAATCGATCTCTTCCGATCGCGAATCATGACATATAATCGTTCGACTCGTTTCTCAGGGATACGTGTACGACGGAGAACTTGCGAGAAATCTTCATCGCGCAAAGCAGCTGTCGAGTGCAATGGATGCGACGTCCAGGTGGAGGAGTGCAACGCGCATCAGTGCGTCGAGACCAAGAGATACTCCGGATGGACGCCGTGGCTGGCTGCAAATGCCAGCGTTCAAGGCTCGAGCGTCGGTTATGTGGAGAAGCGCTATCGCTTCAGCTGTCGGGCGCAAACCGACGATCCGTCCAGCGTGAGAGTGCAACTGGCCAAGGAAGAGGAGCGGTATTGTAAGAACGACGGTTCTTGTCTGAGAGGAAGCGCCAATCAAAATCCGTACGGTTCCGATATCGCGGAGGTCGGATGGTCCGAGTGGTCCGGCTGGCGAGCCTGCGATCGTCCCTGCGGCGGCGGTTCCCAGCAAAGAGTGAGACAGTGCGAGTCACCGCCTTGTGAGGGATCGCTCGTCCAAACCAGATTGTGCAATGTGCATCCCTGTCGCATGAGTGCCCCTGCCGTGGCCTCGGAAGGGCAATGGTCCTGTTGGACCGACTGGTCCGAGTGCTCGGTCTCGTGCGGCGTCGGAGTGCGCTCTAGAACGAGGGACTGTCTAGGCCCGGACACGTGCGAGGGACCGAGGCTCGTCAGAGAGACCTGCGAGATGCCCAGCTGCGAATCGTTGCTCGGTTGGGACTCGTGGTCGCGGTGGACACCCTGCGACGAAGATCGTCAACAGCACAGAAAAAGACAATGCCTTCAGCATGGGATAGGAACGTGTCAAGGACCAAGCAGAGAAACCCGTGACTGTGCGCTCGACTGCGTGAGTAACGACGTGAACGCTTTACGATCCAGCGTAGAGCAATCGGGCATCACCGTTGGCGCGGTGGTAGGAAGCTGCGTGCTGGGATTCTTAGTCGGTCTGGCTCTGACGGCAGTTCTGAGTTTTTGCTATCTGAAGCGACGGCAGCAACGAGCTGCCGGTAGCCCTCGGTACATCAGTAAGCAGAATCCTTATGTCACGGTCCCGTTGAAGGAAGTGAACGCCAAGCGGCAGCCCAGCTTTTCCGGTAGCACCAACGGCAACGGGACACTCCGAGGTAAGAATAATCCGAACGTGAACGGTCTCGGTAGCCCGAAACTGTACCCGAAGAGCCTCGAGTACGAGTCGGCTACGTTGAAGCGAAACAGCCACGGACAGCAACACATTCGAGTCGATTTGGACCAAGAGAAATACTACTGAATCGTCATGAAGGCGGTGAAGGAGACGCTTCCTCGTTCGAGGAACAGTTCTGTGGAAAACGATACTGCCATACGCGTCGAACAGTAAAGTACGCGTACACGTTCGCCGATTCTCGTCGGATGCGACGTTTATTTCGAAGGTCGCAACGAAATCGACTTCTACTTAGTGCCATCGTTACACGGACAACGTCGAACGATCGTGCCGGTGTAACGTATCGAAACGTATGTACCTACGTATGAAAAGAGAAGGAGTGGAAGAGTGGATGAACGAACGAACGATCAGGTCTTTCGAGTATCTATTGGCTCACATTGAGTCGACTCGTGCCTACGGACACGCGGCGAGTCGAACAGCGCGGAACGACTCGATGCGGGAAACGAGTCACGGACGTTTTACGAATCGTATCGCGCGACTGCAATAAAAGAAACGATAACGCTCGACGAGTTTTACGAACGGCCTCTGAATTCTCTTCTCATTTCGCCGTGGCGACGTGGTTACGATCGTTGGCTGTCTACAAATCGGCCGCCAGTTCCTCGATCTTGTCGATCGCATAATCCATCGAAGCCTTCGTCGGCGGTGGTTGACACGTGACGACCATGCGAAAGAAATTGCCGAGGTTCTTGTAGGACAGCGGCGAATAACCGATCATCAACGTTCCGTCGATCATCATACGCTCCTTAATTTTAGCTGTCATCTTGTACAGTTTCTCCCACCATTCCTGCGTTTCCGATTGTCCTCGCATGCTGGGTGGCACGTACCTGCCGAGCGAAACGAGATAGGAACCTTCAGGTGCAAGGAACTCTCACCAACTCACCAAAAGCAAATGTTACAGCCTTCGAATTGCGGAAGGACCAAGCGAAACCCGGGCCGAGTCTTGATTCGTTCGTAGAAATACTCGACCGCGAACATAGCCACGTCCACGGATTTCCGCAAACCTTTAGTTCCGCGGGCCTTCCACATCAACCAAAACTTGGCTCCGTCAACCTGCGGAGAAACGATATGAAGGGAACACTTTCTGAATTCGTATCGTAGCTCACCTTCCTTCCACACTGCACGCTCTTGTCCCCCGTGTCCCAAGAAACGTCGTAGTGCTTGTCCTGTTGAAACAGATACCTCGCCCCTGCGCAGTTCGCCTCGTGCAACGCGTTTTTACCCTTGACCAGGAACAGCGAGCATTGGAACGGAGCGCCGAGCATCTTATGTGGATTCCACGCCACGGAATTCGAGCTACGATATCGATCGAAATTTAGTAATCAATTAAAACATACATCCTCGTATCGCATCACCGTTGCGCGTCGATATTCAGTGTCAGAGTCGTATAAAATCTTGTCCATTCATAATAATAATAATACGCGACGGCGATGCGAAAGTATGATACTCGGTACGTACAGTTCGATTCCCTTCAATCTGTCCCGGTATTTTCTTGAAAGCTGCAACGTGCCACCGAGGCATGCCTGCAACGTATATGCGTCGTAAGAAACATTTCCCAATCGTCGACGCAGTAATTATATTTTACGTCATTACGAACGTCAACGTGCAACCATAGGTTCTCCTCTCGGCAGACGGCAGCGATTTCCGGCAGAGGGTCGAACGCACCGAGGACCGTGGTACCGCAGGTAGCGTTCACGAAGAACGGTAAGTGACCCTGTTTCCTGGCTCGCTCGATTTCCGCCTTCAGGTCGTCCGGTCGCATGCGACCCAACTCGTCGCACTTCACCTATCGACCACAGCTTCGATTATCAGTAGACTGCGGATTCTTATGCGAAATGAGACGTCATACCATCTCTACACATTACAGTTTCTGATAATCGAATTATTTTATAAATGCATCAAATGCGCAGTATATAATTACGAGTATTTTGCCTTGTCTCGTGCAATTAACGAGTACCTTGTAGACGTTCTCGGTTCCCAAGCCCAACCAATGTGCTCCCTTGAGGATTGAGTAATGACCACCCTCGCTGGTAAAGCAAACCAACTGCGGTAGCCCCGCGAGACCTTTGGTCTTTACTTCCGGTACCGCTTTGTATCTCGCCATGACCATACCGTACATGTTCGACAAGCTTCCGCCAGGACATAGGATACCGTCGCCGTCCGGCATCGAAGGATACCCGATTAATTCCAAAGATTTCTCGATCACCTCCCGTTCCATCAAAGTAAACACAGGCCCTACCTCGTATGTGTATCTGCAAGTCGCTAGCGTGATAATCGAACGCTTGGCTCAACTGTTGTTTAAAAACACTTACTGGCTCGAACTTAGAGCGTCCGTCAACCAGGAACCAGCCAGGCCGTAATCATCAGTTCCAGCGAAGAGCTGATTATGAAAATGCGGACTAAAAGTCTTCACCGAGTACCGAACCGTTTTTCGTATCGCCGTTTCGATTTCATTCTCGCTGCTCGGTTCCTCGCTCAACTCGATCGACAGCTCTTTCTGCGCGCAAACAGTGGGGAAACGGTAGCGTTTAAAGAACGACGCGCGAGCTCGCAATCTCTCACCTGCAACTCCTCCGGTTGAACGAATCGCACGACCGGTTCTTCGCCTGTGCGATCGAACGCTTTTTCCTCTTCGAGAATCTCGACCAGACGTTTCAGCAGTTTGGCCATCGCGTCTCACAGTCTCCTTCTTGACTGAACGTAGAACCCGATGAGTGAACAGAAAACCGTGCAACGACAGTTGATTCCCCCACCCACCCCCCCCCTCTCCCCACGCACGATTCTACTTTCCTTCCTCGGACGTATGTATTTAGTCGTTCATTAATCGGTCAAATACCGCGGTTATCGCTAAAATTTTTCGCTCGTTGGACAAGTGGTCATTCGAACACGACAACACAAACGAAGAGATATCGATGGAAATATGTAGGTGGCAGAAACTCTAGACAAAAGGAGAGAGAGAAAGAGACCAATACGAGAGATCAATTCCCCTGTACTGCGTAGACGGCGCGTTCCGTACGTAGATCGTCGAGGCCGAATCAAAACTAGATAATGGATATGTAAAGCAATCGTTTCCTTAAAGTCGAAAGTAATCGTAATCGCTCGCGCTATCGTGGCTGAGAGTGAATATCGCGTCTTGTAATAAGCAGCAGACAGAGCGATACGCGTTTCCGTGTGAAATCGGGCTTATCGCGAACCGATAAGACGAGAGGCGGAAGATACTGAGACGGTCTCGCTTTGAACGGTAGTCGCGTTGTCCGTGGAGACCGTCGTTCGACCGTGTTCCACTGGTAGCCGCGGGACTAGGCCTCTCATCGAGGCCCATTGACCCTCGCAGAGTTCGTGGAACGTCAGATGTAACAGAAGCTTGCCTCCGAGGGTACCGGGACCCCGGCACATGGCCCCGGCCCCGAACTCCCATACTCCCGAATCGCGGTCCGACTTCGCGTTCGTGTCGTTCATTCGCGCCAGGTACATCTTTTGCAGCCACATGGCCAGGTAAGACGCGGCGCAATCGCAGTGCCATGGGTTCCTGGCCAGACGCAGCTGCTCGATCGACTGCACGGCGTCGAGTATCCGCGCCGGCAACGACGACAAGTAATTCGATTCCAATTGCCTGGGAACGAAATGGGACGTTTCAATAAGATCAAGAGTTGGACACGTTCGAGTTCGTCTTGGTGACTCACAATTTTCGTAAATTCGGCGTGTCGAGGAACAGGTCGGGGTGCATAATTCTGAGTCGGTTCGAGTGCAGAAACAGGGAGGACAGATTGGTGAGACCCTGGAACGCGCCGCGGGACAAGCTCTCGATCCCGTTTGCGTACAACACCAGTCGCTCCAAACCGGACGCGTTCGAGAAGAGCCCTGGCGTTAAGTTCCGTATGCGATTGTGGCCCAGCTGTAGCTCCCTCAGCGAGGCCAGGTCTCGAAACGCGGACGGGTCGATCTACGACGAGTCGAAACTATCTGCTATCTTTCTTTCGCTATACTATTTATAGGATATTTACGCGAGCTATCTTGTTGTTGGACATCTCGAGGGAGCGCAGTCGTTTGAGGGGGGCCAAGAGGTCTCCGGGTATCTCCGTTAGTTGATTGTCCCGCGCATTCAACTCGCGGAGAGACGCCTGCGACCGGAATAAATCCCGCGGCAACTCTTTCAATCGGTTCTCCTCCAGACCCAGATACTTCAGGTTGGTCAGGTCGCTGAAGAGATTCACCGGAAGACTCGAGAGCGCGTTCTTCCCCAGCAACAATTCCTCCAGCGCGCTCAGCCCGTGGAACGTACCCGAAATCAGACTCGAGATCCGATTGCACGACAGATCGAGCAACACCAGCGAAGTGGTGCTCAAGAAAATCGTCTCCGGCAGCGCTCGCAGTCTGTTCGACGACACGTCCCTACATCGGAAAACGAATAAAAATTCTAGACCAGTGGCGGTGGAAAAGCCACTCACAGAATTCGTAGGTTTCGTGTGCTGAAAAATTGCGAACGATGAAGTTCTCTGAGCAGGTTCTTGCTCAATCTGAGTTGCGTAACGGCGTGCAAGGAGAAGAACAGGTTCAGAGGAAGGTGCTCGATCGAGTTGTCGCTGAGATCCCTGAAACGATTGGGAGGTCAGACCTCGACACGGCCAGATCGAGACAATTACTTACAGATGATTCAGTCGCGTCATGTCCAAGAAGGTGTCCCTGTGCAGCGCGGTCAATAGATTCCCTGCCAGATCTCTGAAACCACCGCACCGTATCAGTTTCGCATTTCTTTCAAAAGATTCTGAACTAACGAGGACGAGGTCTTACAATTTCAAAACGTCCCGAGGCACGAGCTGCGCCGCGGGGAGGTCCAACAGGTTTTGCCTCCAGCACGAGACCGATTTAGTTTCCGGTTGACATCTGCAAGGACCCTCGGCGCAAACCTCCCAGTCCTCCTCGGCTGAGCTCAGCTGCCAAACTGCCGGCAGCTCGATCAAACGCGGGAAACGACGATAATAATTTATACGGGCAGAGGGCCCTTTTCAAACGAGACGTGAAACGTGTATACCAATCGCCGCACTCACAGCGGGTCTCGATGAACGTGACAAAAGGGAGTGAAATAACGAGTGCAGAGAGACAGGAGGGAAACGGATGATAGTCGCGTGCTTACCGGGTTGCTCGACCGCTCTGAGTCTTCTCTCCAAACGGGATAGCCGGCTCTCGAGTTCCTCGAGGAGCGTCGCCGTGACGACGTTGCTGCCGTTTGCCGCGGCCGCTAAGCTCGCCGTGGATCGCTCGAAATTCGAATCGGAGTAAGCGCAACCGCGGGTCCCTTCCGGCCTCGGCTTGGCTTCGAGGGTCGTCGACAGGAGCAACAGCCCGACGACGACGATGGTCCGATCCGAGATCATCGTGGCCAGCGAGACCTACTCGCGCGACAACCGCTTCGTTTTGACTTTAACCGGTGGCCTCTCATCCCCGCGTTGATAATCGACAGCTTTCGCGTATGTAGAGCGCGAGATTGACAAACAATGGGCCCGGCCCGTGAACCGTTTATCCACTTCGTTCTGCTCCCCGTTCTCCTCGCTTCACAATGAAGCCGGCACCCGTTGTCGAGATAAAAAACGAGGAATTCGTGGAATAAACGAGAAAGAAATAATTCCAATTCCTTTTTTCCTCCCTTTTTATTTACAATCGAACTCGCTAAAGCTAAAGCCTAGGCTTGGCGCGTTACATAAGCGTGAGATCGATCGAATCGGTGATCGAATCTCGTAAGCTCGCGTTGCAGATTCTCTTCGAATCCCCGGTGTCTGGTGGAGTTCAGGAGAGCCTCACGCCGCCCGCTCCGGGACACTCGCCCTTGCTCTTCGCCACGAGTTCTGCGGAAACGAAAAGACGTATGAATAATTCTAGACAAAATTCGACTCGATCCATTCTTACTCGTTCCCATTTCGCAATTGTGTACGTCCAGAGCGCACTGGGTCCCGAAAGTTCTCGGTTTGAAGCTGCCGTCGTTCGGGTCGTGGGCGCAGATCGGATCGTACGCGGTTCCGCATTCCTTCGCGCAATCCTTCCTGTTCTTCTTCGCCTCCTTGGCCGCCTTCACGGCGTCCTTCACGTCCTTCGAGGCGGTCGCCGCATCTTTGATTTCCTTCGGCTCCTTGACTTGCTTAGCCTCGTCCGCGGGCACGGCGTCCACCTCGAGGAGCAACGCGAACGCGCAGGCGACGATCAACGCTACGCGAGTGCGAATGAGAGGAACAGACCGATTAACGAATTAGCCAACGATTTAGTAAAATGAACGAGCGGTCGAGGGCAGCCGTGCCCGATTTCTCGACGCGCGGCCTCAATTCTTAATTCTAGCCAAATTGAACGATCGTCAACTCCCCCTTCCCTCTCGTTATTCGATCGCGTCTCAGACCGATTCGGATTGATTGCAACGATTTTCAATTAGATCCCACTAGTATCTTTCGACGATCGACCGGGAGAGTTACTCACCGAACAAAACTGACCGCTTCATGATTTCCTTGGGAATCGAGCGACACGTAGCGAACGATAAAACGACTGAAACTGAAACTATCGTCGCCTGTCGCGATCGCATTTATAAACGGATATGCCCCCACCTGTTCCTCTCCTCCGGAAAACTCGAGAAGATCACGTAGAGGCAATCTTCGAAATTGCTCACGCCTCCGCCGTTCGCCAGCCGGGAATTGGTAACGATAAGTGTCGCGAATTCGCTGCAAAATGGAACGAGTGGAAAAAAACAAAAGAATTCTTCGCAGATAATAAAGTAGTTTCAGAGAATCGGAATGCCTATGGATAGGTAGCCGTACACAAGCATACGCAGGTACGTTCTTCTCTTTTTTTTATTGACTAGGGAGCGGCGAGTGAGTCACGTCGTACCATTCGTACGTATACCTATAATTATATTATTGTATAATACATTGCAACGTGTAATGAGACGAATTAAATACGCGAGCAGAGGAAAGACTATCAATCGTGATGATCTCTCGTATTCCCTTCGCGGCCTCGACGAAAGGAATCGGACCGCGTGTTCGCGTGACGCTTCGAAACCAGCGAAGCACAGCGCTAAATGTTCATTCGGGCGATTCGCGTTTCCTCCAACAGGTAACTTTGCAACAGCTGCTCGTAGTCCGGCCAGGATTTCTCGCGTTCGAACGCTCTCCCGATTCGACATTCAAGCGTCGCGCAGTCGACGCCGTGTTGCCTCATGGCCTCGTTCACCGCCAGCGTCAACGTGTTCAGCCGGTCCCGCACTCTCCAATTCGCTGAAACCGAATGCGAAACCCGTTTTTAGTTACGTCGGTGATTCGTTAGCTCCGAAGTGAAATGCTAATAAGATGAACGAGAGACTAATGAGTTAAGAAAACGAAATTTACTGTTGGACAGAGCGCGTCCTTCGTCTTCCTCGTCGTCGTCGTCGTTTTGCATGCCACCTTTGTTCTTTTTTATTTCGAGCTTCGGAATGAACAACAGGAGACAGATGACGGCGATGAACTTGACGATCATTTTAAAGATGACCAGTTTCAGAATTATCTTGGCCAAGGTGAATGCGTTCAGTTTAAGAGAGAACGGCAGCGAGAAGTCGATAGAGGGTAGCCCTAGGTGAACCGACTCGGGAGCTCCGTATGGGACGTAGACAGGTGCGGGAGCTGGAGCCGATGCTGGCGGCCCGTAGGCTGCAACGATTGATTAGAATTGAGTCACTTCATGATTCGGATCGAAAAACTATTCCAAATTCAGAGATCAGATGATAAGAATCGAGGAACGTAGATGTAATTCGCATATATGAATTAAGGATGTACTAGCTATACAGTCAATCCCAAAAGTTTATGTACCTTAGAAAAACGCATTTCCTATAATTAAAAAGAAATCAGACGTCGGAAGAATAATGCTAATAATAAATAGCTACGTGCTAAAAAGTATAGAAGGAAATATCCAATTAATTATTGATGATAGCGAAAAGTTTATTATACAGAAATTGTAGGCACTGATGTCCTCTACAAGAAAGATTCTATGTATTTTTCTTCTAACTTGAGTATTTAA